AGGTTTTTAAACTACGCTTATTTGCAAGGCTTTACGTAAATTTTTTAGGTCCTTAGTATTTTTGTTATTTTCATAGCTGAGCCTTTACTTTTAAATTTACTTTGATATATGTTTGTTATGTTAGTTAGCTAACTCGTCTACTTAGCTGACCTTTAATCAGCCGCTGTGTTGCTGGAGTGTGTTCTTTGGCGTGTGGTTTTCTAAGTGGAAATCGCACCGGCTTGTTTTCGTCATACTGCTTGAACGGTGTTTTTCCGCCTATTCCACACCAGGTTAAGTTGCGCCTAATCTGGTCACTAAAATTTGCCCCAGATATGGTTTCTATTCCTTTTTCTGTTACTCAAGTAATTGATTTGGCTTTCAAATTTTTCGGTGGTCGTCGTGTATTTTACCTCCCTGAGCAAAACACATATATCAAGCACTTACATTGAGGTCCTAATCTCTATCTATGTTAGCTCATGAGAATGCTTTCTTGAAGGTGGTGCCCCGAGGATGATGCCCCTCGTATCTGTTCATAAAGTGTGCTAAGACTCGTTTTCTCTCAACATTTAGGATCATTTATTAAATACTTAGGTTTGTCGCTGACTAGATTTGCACGATTTGAGATCTGTTTGTTTTGCAGGTCTCACAGGTGGTGCCATGCTTGACGAGTCTACTGCTCATATTCTTGGCGGTGGGTAAGTTTTCACCGTTAACTACTGTTATTTTCGTTTCGTTTTTTGTATTCGGTCGGGCTATCTATCGAGTTGTTGAATTTGCCTTATCTTTTGCCTTCGAAATACCCGCAGAATCGGCGGAACAATAGGAGCGGTTTGCACATCTCCCTTGGAACTTATCAAAGTGCGGTTTCAGTCGTCTCAAGGCAGTGCATTTACCGGCTCCTCAGTGACCCTTACTCCCCCTCATCCTTTTCCACCCTCTTCGGTAGCATCTTTTGCACAAATTGCATCTACCCAGCCATCTCCAACCCCCATTTTGATGCGCGTAAAGTGCAAAGTCACTCAACTTTCTCAAGTGTCCAGAGTTTGGGCCAAAAGCATATATTCCACCCCGAACCTGCATATAGGATTGCTTCTAAGGTCGAAAATTATCCGCTGCATGCTGGAAGTTGGACAGACTGAGGGATATCGCGCTCTCTTTAAAGGACTTGTCCCCACTCTTATTGGTGTTTTACCCTCCAGGTAGGTAATATGATTCGGTTTTCCTCACTTTCTAAGTTGTGCTCAAGGGAGTGTGCGTGTAGAGGTACTATTACTATTGTAACCAAGTCAATACATAAAATATTGTATCAATTTGTGTCATAGCCGTTTAAAATGCTAGTCGTTCTACCGTATTTTTGAGCATGACATGCATGTGGTGTTCGATGACCATTTCAACTTGTCGCAACGAATCTGAAAGCTTTCATGCACGCTTTTTTACCACCTTGTGTCCATCAAATTATGCGTACAATCGTCTTAAATGTTGCTAGTGTATTTTTTTCAAAAATGACTGCTGTAAACATGGACATCAGTGATTATTATACTTTTTCCATGGATTTTTTCATCCCAGCATTTGTTGTTTATTTGTATAATACTGTAATAATCTACTCGCTTTTCGGCACGTGTTATGGGTTAAACACGTTATTGTGGTAACATCACAATTGACCCCTCTGCGTCCTCGCCCAGGATTGTGCAGTGCGCGTTTTAAAAGCGGTGTAACAATCACCCACCCTCAATTTTCCCCTCCAATTCGTAGCCTGAACGTGACTGGCTGCTTGATTAAATCGACGCATTCTATTGGTTGGAACAGATGTGTCTGTTAATGCTCTGAGGCGTGTAGACTTATCCACGATATCGCAGTGGAAATTCCGATTGCGCACCATGCGTTCTGTTCTGTTTTGCACGCTTTGCTCAATCGAAAAACCGTGGAGTTATGTCTTAATTGACTTCATTTAATAGGTGTTCACTCCGGATTTTTCCTTTTTCTATGTCGCATCAGTCATGCCAATTATGCGTTAGTAAAACTTACAACCGTCCTCTATTTTAAACTTCCATCATGGCATCGCATCAATGACGAATTGGCGTGTGCTGCTCCAGTTTTTATGCCCATGAATAGTGAGAACTCCTTTGTAGGTGCGTAATTGCTATTTCCATTGTTTTAGGGGTATATACTTCTGTGCGTATCACGAAGGTCAAAATTTCTTTCAACGTTTTTTTCCCAATGGTCACTCTGCTGTTTTCATGTTAGCCGCTGGTTGTGGAAGTGAGTTAACGACTATTTTTTCACGCACATTTGACTGTTGATGACATTTGCTTTATAAATGCACCTTTTTTTCTAAATACGCATCGACTTCAATCTCGAATGCTCTATGGTTAATAGCTATTGCGTGGGTGCGTAAACAAAGGCAGCGCCTACATTAACCATATTCTCAACGGCTGTCGTATTAGTTAAGTACAAGTTAACAAACTGGACCAATTGTGTAGCATTAAAGGTATCCAGTGCTAATTCCAAATCGTAAAGCTGTCGTAATTGATTCATCATTTGTGCATTTTTGGCGGCTGAAGTGCAATGATGTGTTAAAATTTGGTTTTTACTTCGTTGGAGTTCATAGAAAATCCCAAACTGCAAAGCGAATCTCTTGAGATAACTAAAGGTATACTTAGGAGTGTCCCCTGGTGGGACGCCAGATGATGTAGCTCACGGGGCTTTTAAAGTCATCGGTCGCATAAAACTGTGATAATTCAGAAATCTCTTTCTTAATATAAGGACTAAAAATGTGGTATTTTGGGGCAGAATTGGTGGTATGTATGTCAAGACTCCCCACTTTCAATATGGCTCCTTTCTAAAAGAAGACTTGATCCTTTTATAATTTTTATGTAAAACTACGTTAGTTTTCTTTGACTGCTTTGGTAATTAAATTCTCAGTTGTATGAAATTATTTTAGTCCCGTATCTAGTAGATTTTTTGTACTTATGCATAGCTGCCCACCGCAGCACTGAATGATCCTACGACCGGGTTTGAAGTTGGACTATCTTAATTTGATAAATGTGGTTGCGTAACTGTTTGTGGATATCAATTTAATTTCCACTTGAGCCTTCCCTTCGTGGTTTTTTATACAGATTCCAATGGTTCATTTAATTGCATTTGGGCATCCTGCGGCTAAATACGGAGTGTGGATGTCGTGTCCAGGTGTAGGTGGTCTATTTAATAGGTAACTTGCTGTGTGATTTGGCGGTATCAATAAGGAAGACTAAGAGTCCTGCCTCATCAAATGCCAAATTATTAGGAGCTCGCTGTTATATGGGTGTGAACGTCTTCCTTATCCTCTTTCATATCAAATGTTCTGGACTTTGGGCGGTGTCTGTGTTTCAGGTGAAAAAAACGTAATTAATCTTTTTTCCTTGTCTCGCCTCTCTTGATTCATCGTCTTTTCTAGCATAAAAATCTCAGCGCTCTCATTGAAAACAAAAGCATCTTTGTTACTTGTACTAAAATGGCTTAATGGTTTCAATTTTGCCACCATGGTGATATTTCTTTATTCACTCTCAGTGCCTCTTTGGGGTGCGCTTAGTAGATCACTTATCGGTTCCTTCATTGACTCGGTAGATTTATGTACCTGCTTTCAAAGTTCGGCAACGTGTTTTGGGAAACTGAACCCATCTTTCATTAATGCCATTGTTGGGCTCCTTTAGAAATGTCTGGTTTTTTGTGTCTCGTTGTTGCTAAACAGATTTTGAAATCTAGAGCACTTTTTCACTTTCACTTTGGTCTCAATGCAATTCTTCTTGGCAAAAGCTATTCAGTTACAATCATATTTTCTTATCCCAAACTCAAAAAGAACTTGCGCTAATATAAGCAGTCTTTTGACGTTTTGTCGCCCGTTGCTTGTATTTTTTAAAATGAAAGATCAGGCGAGGCATTTCTTGGTAACCTTGCACGTTGCTCTTTTTATCTTATGTATAGTTCGCGAGGTCCTATGAAGGCAAAACTTCATATCAATTTTTATGCCAAATTTACGTGTTCATGAACTCTGTTTCATTGCTTCCAATTCCCACAATGCATTCATTCTGTGAACAGTCTAATTCACCTCGCGTCTATCTATACTTACTTGATCTTTGTGTTCGTATTCTGTTATGACTTTGAGTTTGAATCTTCACCTTTACTAGGTTCACCAATTAAAGGGTTTCACGTACAGAAGTAACGCACATTCTGCATTACCTATATCTTTCAAGCTCCATTTTAACTTGTTTTTCATTAATGGCTGCCTCATTGTCATGCTTCAGGCATAACAGCGTCCACGCTTACAAATCCCATCTGGTATGTAAAAACACGACTCCAGCTTGACTCCAGGTAGGTCTGCGTTTTACAAATTTCTACATTTACATTCCATTGTGTTTTTATTGACCTATGACAGTTGTATCACGTCATGTGTTTCATTCTGCGACATCACTTAGTCATCTAGAATGCTATAATTACTTCCACATTTTCTGAGGCTCTTCCAGCAAACCTGCTAATTCGTGATAATTCCTTCGCCTCATTCATGATTAACATTCTGACCGATAGGCCTGCTACTTAATTACCGATGGCTGTTACTGGACGTCCATTTGTTTGGTTCTGTAGTTCTTTCCTTCCCTCCATCCATTTATTCACCCTTCTTGATGTGGGTGTTTTCATGTTGGTTCATTAAGTTTATGTGTATTTTTCCCATCTCGTCCCTAGACCCCATTCCCCGCTCCTAACGGCGGTAAGTGTGATTCGCTCCACCTGGCGGGAGTACGGGATACGCGGATTCTACCGCGGCATCAGTGCCTCCTACGTAGGCTCCATCGAGACGGCGCTAAACTTCGTGCTGTACGAGAACATCAAGGGGGCGCTGCTTTCCTGGGTTCGACGCACTCGACTTACAGAGACAGTACGGAGCGACTACGATGACAATCCGGTTGAGGAGGTTGGCCAAGCTGACAGACTGCAGTTTCGTGGCACCCAAGGTGGCACTAAACTCAATGCGAATAGCGATATGCTGCTTTGCATGGGTGCCAGCGCCTTTTCCAAAGTTATTGCTATCACTGCAGCTTATCCACATGGTATGAAGTCCATTTCATGTCAAGATATGTGTGAAAACATGTTTTTAAATCATCTCCAATTGGGTACATTGATATCTCCACCCGTAGATTTTTGTTCTTCTGATTTGCGCGCTTCGGATCTTTTCCTTGCCTCTTTTTAGGATGTTTAAAATTCAACCGATGCCCCTTCTTTTGGTATTCAAGCCTTTTTTTATATTATCAGTGACTCTTAACTTTGCTATAAATTTAGAAACAACATTTTTTTCAAATCTTGTAAGCACTCTCCTTGTTCGCATTGAGCCCTCAACACACGTCCTTATCGAGCTCACTAATCAGTGAGAGTTTTCGGCCCTGTTGATTAAATACTGAGCCCTGAAACGATGAGCTTTTGTGGACACAGGCAAGCAGCAATAATTGCACCTTCTTCTGTCAAAAAAATGGTCCTCTTCTTGAACTGCATTCCTAAATACTGTTGGTAGAAATCTGCCTCCATCGCGTTTGCACCACTTTTTCTTATAAAGTTAGTAATCGAAATTGCGCAACTTACCTAATTCACACTTATCAACACCCATTTTTTTAAACACCTCACTGGATTGAACACGGCAACCTCATTCGTCTCTCTGTAGGTAATCTCTACGTCATTTATCATTTGACGATTCACAAAACTTTTGATCGCTTTGGTTTACGTTGAATGCTTTGAATATGGTAAACAATTTTCAAAATCCACTTCCATAATTGGTGAGACCGATTTCGTTACCTTGGCCCCCAGTTCATACACTTTGGACGTATTCAATACAATTGAAATATAAGGGAAGAGAAGGCGGAATAATTGGTGTCCCACTAGATGTTCTGAGACCTGGATAACGAATGTGCTGAAACCGCGATCCAAACACGGTCATGCGTTCTATCGTAACCCTCATTTTTACTTGCAGAGGTGGCGCGGACACGGATGCGAGAGCGAGGCAATAAGTACCGCACTTTCGTGGGGACTTTGCTCACCGTGTTGCGGGAAGAGGGGTGGCGTGGTCTGTACCGAGGCCTGGGCACGCATTACATCCGTCAGGTGCCTAACTCCTGCATCATGATCGGGACTTATGAGTGGGTGGTCTACCTCCTCTACTCCTGCAATCTCGTTTCGTCTAAGACTAGTGGCGATGGCATTATTTGCGACCGGTGAATGCAACCTATCTGGCGGTGTACAGAGGCCCATCACTAGTGCATTTCACTCTACCTCCTTCTGGATGTGTACATATTTACTCCCCCCTAGGCACCCTTGCGACAACGCGTTTTTGCCCTCTTATCTGTGTGTACAGTTGTTATTTGCACGTTGGTTAGGCCAGTTTGTGGAAGAAAAGTGCTGTTTTTACTGTCGATTTCTGTTGCTTAAGCGAGTTTTTTGCAGCCATGTATGCTAATATTTGAAGTTGCGGCAGCTGACCAGAGTTCCATAACTTGTTCAGACATGCAAGTGATACCCGCGTTGTCGGTCCTAGATACCCTGACCAATGGCAAGTACCGCCGCTCCTGGTCCTTGCACCGTTCGCTTTTCTCTGCTTCATTACGCGCAGATATCGACGGTTCACTTTGTTAGACATCCATTTAGCGTAAATATGGGGTTCGAGAAGCTTCTGATTGCTGTGGTAACGCGGTACGCGATCGGAGCCGGCTGGCATCGGTGTTTGTGACGGTCGCTGATCTCTACACTTTCTGCAGTTCACTAATAGTTTGCCCTTGTCGCTTTAATGTGTCTGTGGCAGTTCATCATTAAAACCCCTTACGAATTATTCACCGTCCGAATGGCTTTTTTACCGTTGCGGCCAAATGGACTACTTGATGGACGAGGTTGCCTATTTACTACAAAATTTGTGTGCAGGCAAATTATGTTTCCCTGTGATGTGGTTCCACCGCTATTAGTCAGGCATCTTACTCCGTAAATTAGTTGGACCAACACCGATTTGGGGCTTGGCGGCAACCCCGCCTGCCATACTGACGTATTTCTCGAAGTCATAGGAAAAATAGAGAATAATTCGCATATTCCACGTTTGGTGTGAGCTATTCACGTGTTTGCATCTTAACCACAACTTTATGTCTGCAGCTTCAAACACTTAGCGCGAGTGGTCTTAAAAATCTTGATTTTCATCCCAACTCTGGGTAGTGAGGCCTCCATGAGCGGTAAGTGGAGGGCAATTCCTGTTCTCTTTCCCGCAGGATACTGCCGCGTGGACACCCGCTTGACGAAATATGCGGACAAGGACGCGTAAGGATTATTTTAAGGCTCTAACTGAATGAAACATAAGGTGTCCACATGATCCGACTTTGTAAAGCATTAAGGGTAAAGAGGTTTGTTTGATATTAATCATAAGTGATTTACCATCGCTTGTTCCAAAATTTTGTCGAAAATTTGGAAGCTCTATTTGTGCATTCATTAATGTTTCATCCTAGCCTAGAGAGACATTCATTAGAGAACCAAATCACCAAGCGAACTGAAAACAGAGGCGAGGGGCAATGGTCTATCAATTACCGACAGACAGGGGTGTGATAAGTGGGCCGTCTTCCAAGTGCGCTCAGAGGGTAGCAGGCGGACCGAGGGTACGACAAACTAGTAGACAGCCACACTGGTGAGAAGCCACTCACCCTTGCCACCGCTGTCAACCGCCCACCACGGCTCGATCCAAATCGACCGGTCATTGCGAACCGACCGTAGAGTTGAGCCGGTTTTAGTTTGGCTGCACAAGCCGAGTTCCTCATTAACAAAGTTGGGGGTACTTATATCATAAAAAGCTGAAGACATTAAATCTGGCCTTATTATTCAAATAGCAAATAACATCAAAGTCCCAGTTATGGAATGAAATCGTTCAGCATATCTCACTGATTGATTGTTTACAGTCTTGATCTCGAGGTTCGAGGTGTCAGCCGGACAGCTGATTTTCTCGATGGGCGTTCAATGGCCTCCCGTGTTCCCGCAGTCGTGATAATGATGGGGGAGGTGGTGTTCAATTTTATTGATGGATAAAGTGACATGCTTCCTGCGATTCTTGACCTCGACGTCGAACTTGTCTACTCGATGATGCCTCCAAAGGGCTTCCTAATCCACTTAATTGTAGAGGCTGGGATTTTCCACAAAAAAACAGTCCTTCCCACTAGCATCATTGCCACTGAATTTGGATCGCAACAAATTCTCTGATCTGTTGAACCAAATTCGAGTCTAAAAACGGAAGCAGAAACATCAACGGATTGCTGCTTCTACTCCAATAAAGATATGGACTAAACTTTGGAATTCTCGGGCATTTGGGCTTGAACTTGGTCAAAGTGCTTCAGCTGAGGTATCAAAATTTGTTTGATTCGTCGATTGCGCCTCTACTTTTGTAAACTAGGTGAGCCGTAGCTTAAACACGAAGCTACACAAAACCAAGTCAACAGGAAAGCAGAAGACAGGGGCGAAAGTCCGGCTTATCAATCATCAGTAGACCCATGCGAGCAGTGTATTAGCTGCGTTTTCCAGCCACGCTTAGAATGCACCTTACGTTACTGAGTGGAAGGCCAAACATTGGTCGGTCATTAATGAGGAGCCACCTAGACAGCTGCCCCCATGTGTGACCACCCTTGATCCCCATTGTTTCATCTCCGGTGCCGGTCATAGCTCGCACCATCTTCCGGTTCGGATCAATCAGCATTGAGGGCGCAGGCTAGCCCGAGATACTGAGCCTCGGAGCAATTAAAATCTGTGATTCTGAGGGGTGTTGAAACGCTTGATGTTACTAGTCATCTAATCACCAACGTCATGGTCTCGGAAATTTGAACGTGTTCACATCGAGACGGAGAAACGCATGACTTTGGTGAGGTCGATTTCCTATGACTGAGACAGTACCCCCAAAAGATGATACATTGCTAGACTTGATGTAACAAAGTATGTTAATGTTTGCCCGGCTTTATTCATAAATCAACCATTGGATTTTAAGAACAATCGATCTTCAAAGCGATCATTTGCCAATAGATTGCAACCAGGGCCTAGAACAGTTAAAAAGCAATTTTTTTTTCAATCGACAAGGACTTCAATTCCAGAGAGGCACATTCAAGCAGCTACATTAATTTCCTTCAGCTTTTGGCCAAGCTCGCCTATGTAAAATGTATTGGTCTGAACTCGTGCCGGGATTCAAACGTTCATTTTAGGTGATCATCCAACCTGTTTGTGCATAAGCTCGACTATCTGGAATGCAAGAACAGGTGGAATGTTACTTGCGATTCATCAGTGAGAGCAAACGCAATGTCTTTATGGCCATTTCGTTTTCTTCCACTTATCATATTGTCAAAGCTGAATCCACCGATAAAGCCGCATTCCACTCGAACTAACCTCGTCCGTACATGTTTCTCTAGTGTTGGTGCAATTGGATTGTGAGTAAGCCAATACCACTGGTGAGATGCACCACACACGAATAGACTGCAACACTCGACATAACCTAACCCCCTCTTTTCTACATTAACAAGTACAGGTGCATTGACGAGGTCTGGAAGAGTCACTAAGGTTGATTGCAAGGTACTTTCGTACATCAGTTTTACTTCCCTAGTGGTCGTGAGACAGCTGGAGATACCCTTTTTGGAGACTTTCATTACGATCCTTCAATTAGACAATTGAAGCCATAGAACAGCCTCCAAATGCAATGCCTTGGTCAGATTTTCAATTCCACACTCAAAGAAGTGTGTGGCATATGCTGTTTTCCTAAATAACTGAGTAGTTCGTTTGCCTGTAAAGCTAAACTACTTTAGGAGGAAAGATGTCTTCTTTTAATATATGACCCTCAAATTCGAATCATCTACAGCATACAAGCAAGGTAGGGACCGGGCCAAGTGACTTGAGCGTATGAACGGAGTACCCGTGCGTTTTCAGAGGATCCAAGGTGTGCGTTTACAAAATAGACTAATCATAAGTTCAGTGAAAAGTAATTACACAAATGTTCGTCTAAGGTTGGTTGAAAGGTATTTAGCAAGCGTTTCATGGAATGTCTTGAGCAATAACTTCGATTTACTAACAGTAATATACATGTTTTTCAAGCTGCGGTAGTTGTATCCACCAAAGAGCCTAAGGCACACTTCTATCCACGAATTTCATGAGGTGATTTGCATGTCATGCAGACTGTCTCATCAATTAGATGGTCACGTTTACCAGTGATGAATGGGCGTGATAAGGATGTTACGATGAATGCACCTTTGCACAAAGTTTCTCTTATATGAAATAAAAATTCCAAAAGATGCTTGTCTAAAGTAAATCCCCCAAATAATGTGGTAACAAATTGGGAAACCACTTTTAGAGCATAAGCACTCCACCGTAATATGCCCATTTTAGTACGTGCACGCATTTGCGGTGCCCCAGCCCGAGCTCTGATTGTGGCACAGCAGCCCCTCCGCCATTAAACTGAAAGTTACGGCACCCACCCTCGTGCATTATTAACTGGTCCCGTTTCCTTGCACGTGTTTTCAATGGCGAATTTCCACTACACCCAAAATCAAGAACAAGTCTTCCCTCTGTGCATGGACGCGAACAAAGGGTTACCGTTGGGGATACTGTAGGGCTTGTGTGAAATGCACAAGCTAAAATGAAAGAAGGCGGCAAAGATGGTGTTTTGAGTTATTCAAATCTGGATGGTCCAATTGGTTTTTACTTTGGCCGTAAGGATGAATAGGCTTAATACTCTGATAAGAAAATGGATCACAGTCTGAGTGTGAGCTAGCATCACTCTCGATGCATTTACGCATACAAATTATGCGGCATACGTCAGTCCTGAATCAGTAAATATCCCAAAGCTCTGGTGAATTTCTTAACAAGTCAATAAATATTACACTTGGTAAAAAGTGCAGTTTGATAAATGGGTGCGGGAAATAAGGGCAAAGAAGGAAAACACAAACATTTGAAAGTACTGATGACAGGTCGTCGGGAAATTTAGAATTCGTCGTCCTCGGCGCTCCATCCACCCTCGTCTTCGTCCCCTTCATCATTTGAATCACCGAAAGCATTCTACGAGCAAAGGGCGCCTATGTACATTATTCCACCGTCTAATGCGTCACTTATGTGATGCTCCAACTTTCTTGGCTGGTCCCAATTTCATAAGCATGTGATATGCGTTATCAGTTTGTTGTAGCGGAATGCATAAATCGTTTCTTCAACAGTTTTTTTGCTTAAAACCGCAAAATGGATGTAGGATGCTCTTGTTCTGAGGATGATTTTACCTTTCTACCTTTGAGCAGCGGTTGAATTAGCCGATTCGGTATTGCAAATGTTCATCCAATTTTGGATTGATATGCCTTATTAGGACTGGCGTTATAAGCTGATAAATATTCCATCAAATAAATACTTTATTTCAAGAATGAAATATGTCAGCAAGAAAAAGCCTTTCTACAGCCTTTATTGAAAGTACTAGTGGTTCCACAAGTAGATGACAGGTTGATCACTGTTTTTGTAATGAATGAGAATGGATTGGTCAACCACACAAAGCAAATTAACCTCAAAAGAACTTTGTATAACATTTTTAGTCAATTTAAAGCTACAAACAACCTAGCTATGGTAGAACATTTTCGAATTTAGCCGTTAAAAACAAGGCTTCCAACAAAGACATTGAATGTTCATCGTTCTGGCAATAAGTAATCCCACTGGGGATGGACGGCAGCAAGCCTGGCAGCATAAGACACAGAGCCTGACACAAGCACCTGATTGGTGGATTACACAACGGCCTGATATATGGCAAGTCGTTATTGGCGGATCGAAGGAAAACTGATACCCCCACTATGCTTCGGTATTTGTTACGATAATGATTTCAAGTGACCGAACGCTTAAGCAGCGAGAAAAAGAATTACTTAGCCTACCTCCACCTTGTATCGAAGGCTTCCATCTGCTGAAGGTAATGGGGCAGCAGATGAGAGATCGCCTCTTTGGGAGATTGAACTCACCGCAGAATATGAAGTGGTTTTTGGTTCTATTTCTTCGAGAATTGCTTTCACTTGTGTAACACTTTCTCCTAACTCCTGGGTGGAAAATGGAACAAGGAAGGAACTAGAAATACCATGGTACGGTACCCTTCAACAGGTGTCTGTTGATGCACGAAGAACCGTTGTGATAGAAGCCCAAATAGTCTCCGCCACATTTGACACCAACACCAAGCCTCGATTAGTGCTGTTTATTAATCGACCCATGACCGTCATGGGATGTACTTGCGCTTTCTTCAGGTGCATTTTTAATTTCTAATGAAAAGTCACAATTTGGTTTTGCATTCTGGCAATTGGTGCAGCAGTTACTTAGAAAACTTGAGTTAGCAACAACCACCGCAAATGACATATTTGATAGCAAATTTTATGCTTCTAGAAGGAGCAATTACAGTGAAGTGCTACCTCGGTTTCTGAACAGAAGTATGCGGAACGTCAACAAAGACAAAAGTCTTGTGGTCCCATGAAATTTGGCCAGCAGTTCAATAACATTACCCAGATCGTAGTAAAGTTTGAGTACCGTCTACATCGAATATAAGTCAGACCTAAAACCGTGCACAAAGGCGCGAAAAAGTAACTTTTAATGCACGAAATGGCTGCTGACGATAGGCAGATTTGGACTGAAGCAGTGCCGATAGATGAGTAACAGCGAAATAGAACTAGAACTCACATTTTCCGTTCGTGAGAGGAAATTCGATGATTTCAGGGAAAGTGACGATGAGGCTTTGGCAGCAAGTTTATCGTCCTCACTGTCCGAGGTCCAGTCGTTCCACTGATCGGTATCGCTATCGTTGTTGTCAGCAGTGAGGCTCTGACTCGATAAATCCTTGGAGGGTGGAACTGTTGAATCCTCCTGAGAGTGAACAAAGCAATCGACAAGCTTACCCACTTATTAAGCAGCCCAATAGCATACATCCACTTTGGTTGTAAAATTTGACAAACCAACAGCAACAAAATGCATGCCCATGCGGTGGTGGGTTGAGCTAAAGATACACCATCAGCTGATGGCGCTCTCAGTTTCAGATTTATTAAGTGATAGGTATATTAACATGGTAGTTAAGAATAGAATTGAGGAAATCTATCAAAATCTGCTTCCTTGATAACAGGCAATAGAATCGATGCAACCAAGGACGATAAGTAAGATGACAAAACAACAAATTTTATAGAAGCCAAGTGTGTCTAACCTTGACATTGGGGAGTTTACCCTCTGGTACATTGGGAACTGGGGATCCTAGCCCATTCAGAATAACTTGTTTTGAAGAATCCTTTACGTTTAAGACAGCACTCTTTACTGGACTCACTCCCTCCGCACTCACCGAAGGGTACGAATTCGAGAAGGGACCTGAAAGTGACTGAGTGTTACGGAATATATTTCTTAAAAGAAACGCGTAGCTGGAATTACCAAAAAATACATTTATAAGAAAATACACGGTATAACAGTTAAATCGCTTTCAAAAAACTTACTCCGATTCTGATTTGGCTTCTTTGATGGGAGCCTGCGGGAAAAAGAAAAAAAAAGCACAAGAAGCAAGAGACCAATTGGGAGGTTAAATAGGAAAATGCGATTTGTGGCTGGAGTTTACAAAAGCGTATGGTCTCCAATCTCACTGAAATTGAATGCTCTTCTCGTGTATCACTCAGCTTAGGTGTAAGTGCGGACAAACACAGCCAACGCCGTAGTGTTCAAAAGATTGATTTTAGTGAAAACAGTCACGCTTTTGAACAAGGTTCTTTATTTTACAAAACAATCCAAAAATCTGTCTCTGTGTAAGTCGATTAAATTCAGGTGCCAACTAAATCATAACTATCAGTACTCGTCCCCTTTGTTTTGCAGGTAAAAGTAATGAAGCGAGAGCCACCATTAGATAGCTAACAACAGTGGATTGAGGCCTACTTTCTAGCAATGGGAGGACAGACGTCTCCGGACTTTCTGACCGGCACCCCAGTGGGCACATATTTGGCGGAGAGGACGGCCATATCACAAAGTCGGCGTTCCGTGTCATTACGCGTTTCGGTGGATGCTTCCCGTGCCTGTCGATTGGCCTTGGGTGAGGAGTCAGGATAGAAGGTGACACGGGTGCGACGCCAAGGCCGCTTAGCGATGCAATAGGCGATCGGTTTTTTAGTGGGCGCTACCATCAGTTTGTGGTAAGCCGACGAGGTTTCGGGGTCTAGTGAGGTGGTAAGGAATCCTCGATTTTCCAATTGACTTCCGAGACTCTGGAAGTGACCCATTGTGCATGTGATGCCGAGAAGGTGTGCCAGGTGGGCCAAACCAGACAGACTGGCCACTGCTAGGTCCTCGTTTACATCATATACACCCATACAGACCTGTTTTGAGGAGAAGAGATTGAGGTGACGGTGGACGTGGATACTTAAATGTACCTCGGGTAGAATGATTGCTCTGAGGGTCTCATAGCCCATAAGCCGTGCGTAGGCTTTAAAGTGCTGCAAAAGCAGGAGGCGCGTAGTGAGTTCATGGCAACGGAAGAGGCGAGAGATGTATGGGACGACTAACCGGGAAAATGCAGCCTCAGATACTAAGCCAATTTCGTCGTCTAAATTATTTGCGTTAATCTAGGTACTCTTCTTATACCTTTGCGAGGCGTGAGTAGGTGGCGAACCAATGGTTTCGCGGGAAAATCGGTGAACACTGAGGGAACCAAAATAAGGGGAATGATTGATGAGCAGAAGACCTCTTCTGAAATTTGCCGTGCCAATTTGGGAAGTTCACTGAAATCGAGTGGAAGGTATCAGTACGGCATAAAAGCTAACGTGTGCGAGGGTAGTTCTCACTCACTCGAAAAAATGAAAGCGCTCGGTATCCGATTTTAGCACATAGTCCGAAAGAAATGATACAATGTATGCAAATGGATCCTTAAAGGCGGAATGTTTTAGTAAATGTGCAGCAGTGGGACGCTGCTGTGGAGAGGCGTGGAGACCCGATCTTTCCAAAACCGTCTGGAAGTCATTCATTTCAAAATCTAAATGGTAAACTAGGAAATCAAACTTACCTAGCTTGGATATGATTTCGACAACCATACGACTGAAACAGTACATGTCATAGGCATGTGCTGCAGAGTCTGCTAATTCTACGGCCTAAACTTGACAAAAAAGTAAAAGCATTGTCTTACCTTCCTATCTTCGGCATGATTTTTTAGGATCTCTAACACTTCAAGACGATTTTGTGAAAGTGCATCAAGCATACATGAAAATTCAAAAGAACCGAGTTTCCACTTCTTTCTCGAATCAACAAATATGCTTGGGACATCAATATTGTTGTGAGAAATATGAGCCTGCAAAAAAGTGACCTCCGCGCTACACTACTTACCCGCGTGTGTAGAAATTCCATGGCATGTAAAATTGATTGCAAACCCGTTAAAAGTTCCTCTTTAGTAAGACTGGCCAACAAACCTTGAAGTGGTAAATTTGGTTCCGAGACGAGAAAAAGAGAGGAAAGTTTTGGAGATGAGATTAATGAAAATACACGAATAATGGAAGGATGACTTAAATGCTTAACTTAAGTACCAGTATTAGGAAAAGAACTCTTTACCTTGTAGAGCACGATCTACAAGCTTTTCGTATGTGAATTCCGTATTTAGAATGGCTCTAAACGTTGCACTAACAATCAGTTTATCGGGCAAACGACTGTTTTGCTCCTTGAAATATTGCGTTATGGTCTTTTCCTTGAATGTCGCAAGTGTACAGACACAGGACCTGACTGAAAACAGTGGACAAGTATTAATGGTCTCCGTAAAAACTAATGATGATTCATCAACGACAGGAGAAGCGGACGCATTCGCCCCCATTGTCCGACGCCTTAGGCTCTAAGGTTATTTCCGACCACTAGGCTGAAATACAGCATCCTGAGAGGTCACATAAGCATTAAATACAATTTCGATAATTCGTAGTTGTTTCAACAAGGCCTAAAAAGGTTTCTAGAAAAGCCTTTTTAAATAAGCAAAATGACTTTAAGGGTACGTAGGTACCTATCGATCTCCTCGATCCTCTATATACCAAAAAATATGTGGTGGCATACATTCAGTGGTTGGGTTTTTATTCCAAAAGTTTTGTCAAACAGAACTGAACTACAGTCTAAACGATGCTAATGCGCAAAATCTCTCGCCTTCTGGCCTCAGTGCTGCGGTGCTCTACTACATTGGTCGTTTAACGCCTGGTTTAATAAAGGGGCACTTCTAGCCTCAGTCATTTTGACTTCCTTATAAATACTTGGGCAGAACTCATCTTGCTTACATACAGACCGGCTTGGGGCTACTGGCAGGACTCAAATACCACGCCGCTCACTAGATATACAGTTGCAGACACCTTGATGGCCCGTTAAAAAATCGAATTTTAAGCAATCCACCAGTCGTGTTCCTCATCATTAAGGTTTTTTAAATTTTTTTGTGCAAGTGTAGCGTCCCGAGACTCCCTGAAGACGAAAGGAGACACAATACTCGGGCATAACATATATATTCAGCACGGGGGTGTCTGGGCTATTGGCATGGCCTGAAAGGCCAGCCCACCCAGTGAGGTACAAGTGGGCTGATTCAAAGTCAAATGTGGCGCCTCACTAGAACCGAGGGATAAACCACTATCGTATTACATAGCCTCCCTCCTCTTTTGAGCGTCGTCCCCGGCGCTACCGCAGGTCAACCTCTCGCGTCAGCCATTGCAACGTAGTCGGTGCAGTAAAGAAACACCCACGAGCCGACCGTGCCAGTCACCAAATTAGTACTCAAATGAGGGGATACTTGACCTCAACGTCACTGATCCCTCTTGGCGGCTTGACTGGATCTGGGTTTTCGTCCAGTTTAGGGATTTGATTCAGGACGGAGAACTGCGCCGGCCATCATGCGTGGCCATAGATAGATGCAGGAACACTGGCCTAAAAGCAGATTTGAGTAAGGAAGTACAAGATTTAAAACAGGTCCATGGGGAATGGTAGGGGAAACCCGTAACGAAACTTCCAGATGGTTCACGGCCAGTGTCGCTTCAGTTATTATTAGCTTTTCTGCAGAACACGGGACTGGGAGAGATGCCGAAGGTGGACGCCAACATCAACCCTTCTGTTATGGGTCATCACCATTCTCCCATGCGTAGCATATGTACTTCTTCCGCCCCACTAAGGCTTATCACGCAGAAGTGGAAAATCAGGATACATGTCCTTTAAGATCGGGTTCGTTTTCCGCTGCCACCAATGTAGCGTCCCAAGACTCCCTGAAGACGAAAGCAGACACAATACTCGTGCATAATATATGTATTCAGCACGGAGAAGGTGTCTGGGCTATTGGCATGGCCCAAAAGACCAGCCCACCCAGTGAGGTACAAGGGGGCTAATTCAGAATCAAATGTGGCGCCTCACTAGAACCTAGGGATAAACCACTATCGTATTACACAAGTGTAGCTGATCAACAATTTGGCTATCAATGAAAAGTATATAGGCGAAAGAATTACGAAGCCTAGATCATTTTCAGGCATCAAACCTAGCCCTCCATAATTCTTTCAGATCTTGCGATTTCAAAATGTCCATCGTGTAGATGACACAATACTTAGAAAAGCATGGACTATGCAAGTGAGTGTTGCTAAAATAGCCATTAGCAACTAAAAAGGACACAAATTAATAACCGAACAGTTTTGCCACGAAAAACTGATTCAAGGAGACGAATGTGTAATTCGATTCCTTAAAGCTACATCAAATTATATTTTTAAATGAATAGCTGGTTATCAAATATGCTTCCACAATTATTTGGTACCGGAAGATGTTTGCTTTCCTAATAATGTTGTCAAACATTGATCAAAAACAGCCACGGCATTACCGTTCATAACTCATTTTTAAAAGCCGCTTGGGTAATTTGTCAGTGCTTTATGAGTTATTAGAGCAGTGCGACAGACAAAATTTTGATATACGGGTTTTAGAACATAAGTAAACAGAATTTGCGGAATCACTATAATACTTTGGTTGTAGCTTAGATGAATGGGCTGGCCTTCAGGTCATGCAAAAGTCTCATTGCCCTACTGTATGCCGAACAAACCTATCTGTGCCCAAGTATTACGTCTTCTCTAGTCTCGGACAGGTCACCACGGTCCTCACTGTTGGCAGCCGAAAGCAGGCCTCCTCTTAAAGCATATCTATCCTCGTTACTGCTAAGTAATAAATTTTTTCATGACGGAAGAGGTGTATTTGCTGTGAATGGCAGAGTCGGTGACGACTAGCGGCTGAATAGCTGAAAATAAACGTCTACCTTTGGTAACAACCCCAGTCCTGTATTTTGCAGAAAATAGCGACACTAGCTATAAACCTAAAAGAGCTCATTAGAGGGCTGTCTACTATACTTGTAAAAAGGCATTAAAGATGTGAATGGGCGATGCCTAATCCCCTTCATTACCTAGCTAGTTAGAGCCCAAATGGATATGGCTAAGCTGCTTCAAAGTGACAAGGATGATTAAAATCGAAACCATTTTTCCACTAAAATATTAAAAATTCTGTCCGGTGTTTTTAAAACTAAAAATAAACACGCGTTGCAGTCAGAATATTCGCCTGACCCCCAATTACACGCTATACGCAGCAGAAAACTCTAGCTCCAACAGAGTGCTAAGAGAGGTCAGGGACGGTGGCGTAGTTTGCTAGTGTGTACTTCCTTACAGCATCTATTGCATTGCAATGGCTGAGGCAGGAGGATGACCAAAGGGATTGCCGACGATGATACTCAAAAGGTGAGAAAGGCAATCCAATAAGTTGATCGTTTAGCTCTCAGTTCCAAAAATTGGTCAGTTTGCATTTCCGTCATTGTGCTTCCGTCGGTTGAGCTGGTCTCAGATGCATCTCAGTAGCTCCAAGCTCCACTGCAATACCCATGCTGTTTTAATGTACCTTTCAGGGAGGAGGCAACCTGGAAATTGGAATCTGGTGAGAGGGTCGTCGCCTTCCGTGCCTAGTTGCAATTGCGGTTCTTCCCCACCTTAAAAGTTGTGCTTTTCCTCCCCTCCTTTCTTTCTTAAAAAAGTGTCAGAACCGAATCAACTGGGCTGTTCAGGGAACACTAAGAACAGGGTAGAGGAGACCGAGGAGTCTCGACTTCATAACTGCTACTCATGTAAAAATTTTCTGCCGGTGAATTATGCATTACCCTGTCTGTAATAAAAGGCTATAGAGAGAGTTGCAGTCTGGTGCAATAAAAATAGATAGGTGTATCTTCATTAATTAATGAAGGCAAAGAATTGGAATAAAAATGTTGGCACTTTTTGTAGTCCTTGCACGTAAAGTTAATAATTAGATCACTTAAGTTGTTTTTGCAAGAAAAATAAAAAACAACTCCTGTTTCCAAACCATACAAGTTGGAAATTCGCCACTTTTTAGTTGCAAACGTTTTTTTGGCCAAAGATGAAGGATATATTTTAATAAAAGGAGCTTTAACACCAACAGTAGTTATTCTTTTTAAAAAATATTTTTGTTTACAATATTTTACCTAAAATTTGAAGAATATTTTTACTTTTTTGTTTTAATCTGGAATGGATTTTGTCGAGAATTTAAGTTGAAAAGGAGGTCGTATTGACGCTCTGGTGCTTTGTCATGTCTTCGGGCGACCTAACTATTGATCCCTCTAGTTTAGAGCACCTTTGTGTTGCTCAGGGTCCATTGGATGATGCTGCGGCTCAGTCAGATTGGGCCTCGAAGAAGCTTGTTTGGGTTCCTCAGGAGTCTGTCGGATTTGTTGCAGCGTCAATTATCAGCGAGGACAAAGATGATTGTGTTGTCCATTTGCAGGAATCTGGCAAGAAAATCACTGTTCCTAAGGATGTTATTCAAAAAATGAACCCACCAAAGTTTGACAAGGTTGAGGACATGGCAAATTTGACTTACCTCAATGAGGCTTCGGTTTTGCATAACCTCAAGTCGCGATACTACTCGGGACTTATCTACGTAAATTAGTTTTTTATCGTAATTTTTACTAGACCTATTCTGGTCTCTTCTGTGTCGTTGTCAACCCTTATAAACGTCTCCCTATTTATCGTGAGGAAATTGTGGAATGGTACAAAGGCAAGAAACGTCATGAAAGACCACCTCATATTTTCGCTATTGCCGACACTGCTTACCGGAACATGCTTCAGGATCGTGAAGATCAATCCATTCTTTGCACGTAAGATGAGAACCCTTCTCACATGCTTTTAGTGGTGAGTCGGGAGCTGGAAAAACGGAAAATACTAAGAAAGTCATTCAATATTTGGCATCTGTGGCAACGTCAACGAAGAATCAAAAGACTACTCCCGGTAATGTGCTATCAAAGCTCCATGTGAGTTATTTCGCAAATGGGATATGTAAAAGAGCCAGAGTTTATCTCATGTCCACCGATTAGTTGCCATCTGACTGTCTTATCTCTTGATAAAAATTTGGTTTTAGTCACAAGATGTCAATATCGTAAGTTTAAATGCCTCACTTCTTCATTGCATTCTTGTAAACACCACAAATTTGCTGCACTTCGCCCGCTTTACCACAGGTTTTTTTCGGTCCATTTGCTTCGCATACATAACTGCTTCTGGATTTACAGGCCACTGGAGATCAGGTTCTGATTTCAAGTATTTCGCTGTAGCACACTTTTTCCCTGATAATAGCACTTACTCTTGCTGATTAACTTTGGTTTACAGTTTGCCAATGGTGAAAGTCGTCAAAAGGTTGTCGATAGATGTGGTTTCTTATAGATCCTTACTAGTTCTCATTCATTTACTGTGTGATTTGCACCCTTTGTGTTAGTGTTTTTGTCAATGTCGTTACGGTATTAAGATCAGTTGATCACCCACGGTTGGCTTGAGTTGCATTTGAAGATCTTCCTTGTACTTTATCATGTATCTCCCGCTTTTCTCTTATAGGGTGAGTTGGAAGCACAATTACTGAAAGCAAATCCTATACTTGAGGCCTTTGGTAATGCAAAAACAATCAAAAATGATAACTCTTCCCGTTTTGTGAGTAAAGCGTTCGCTACTTCTTATTGATTAGCACTTTTTATCACTGTTCCATTCTTGTAAAATATTTTATAGCTATTTTCTAGATTAGTTTCTTACTCCTGTAGACTTGCAATACTTTTTTTCAGGCCATTTAACCACCAAATTGGTATTTTCACTGACAGATATTTGTAGTAAATTCCGAATACTTTAGTGGTATCTACTATGCTAATTGTTAGCAGACCAACCTGGGTCTTGCGTTCGATGTAGTCCCCCAGATCCATGCACTGTGTTATTCTGACTACTAACTGGTTTTCTTTAGCCGTACTTTTGAATCTACTGACGGAGCAGTTCTAGTTCTCCAAGGAGAAGTTTAAAAATTCCGGTTACCCATTTCAGGGCAAATTCATCCGCATAAATTTCGACACATCTGGTTTCATTGCTGGAGCAAATATTGAAACCTGTATCCTTTCAGCCTAAATGGCATCATTTCTTGTCGCGTACGTCCTTGTGTACGCTAGTTTTTTAATCCTTCTCTTTCCTTCCCTTCTTATTCGCTACCAAACTTCCTTCACTTGCATAAAACCAGATCTGCTGGAAAAGGCGCGTGTGATTCGGCAAGCGCCGGAGGAGAGAACTTTCCACATCTTTTATCAGCTCATCGCCTCAGCTAGCCCGAAGCTGAAGGAGAAGCTCCTGCTCACCGATGCCTCTAGCCACTCCTACCTCTCCCATGGCATGATCGAGGTGCCCGGTTTGGACGAAAAACAGGCCTTTCAGGAGACCACCGAGGCTATGTCTGTCATGGGTATCACTGAAGAGGATCAGCAAGGTTCGACCTCTTCTACTCGCCCTGAATGGAAAGCACATTCCTGTGAATTTGTTTCTTACAAGAAGATTACTTTCTCCATGTTGTAGTTACTGAGACTGGATCTTTTTCTAGCCTTAGTGTATAGTGTACCGATTTTCGAAAGCCCCATCGTGTGGCTTCTTTCCTTTCATTGTAGCCATCTTCAAAATCCTCTCCGCTGTTCTGCATTTGGGCAACTTGGAGTTTAAGCAAGAGCGAAACACCGACCAAGCAACCCTTCCAAATCAGGCTGGTATGTGTTTCCCCACCCCCGTACTAGTGAGGGGTTGTGCAGCTGCGTCACTGCCGATACCTCATCTTATCAGATAGAGCATGCTTACTGTATTAAAATGTTCCACCCATTTTGATGCTGCATTCCATCTAGTTCCTTTCTTAGATTAATGCTAAATGGATGTGATAGCAAGTGCAACTACCATTTTGCCCTCTTCAGTTGCCGAGAAGGTGGCCCATCTGCTGGGAGTGCCGTTGCAAGAACTGACGAAAGCCTTCCTCAAGCCGAAGTTGAAGATCGGTCGGGAGACAGTGTCAAAGGCTCAGACGAAGGAACAAGTTGAGTTCGCTGTAGAAGCCATCTCGAAGGCCATCTACGAACGCCTGTTCCGGTGGCTAGTCACTCGCATCAACAAATCCCTAGATCGGGCTAAACGTCAGGGTGTCTCCTTTATCGGCATTCTGGATATTGCGGGTTTCGAGATTTTCCAGGTGTGGTAATGCTGGTCTAAAGCTTCAAAAGACGCCTTTAAAATCTGATCCTTGCCTGCAGGCAAAAGTACTCCGCTATGGCGTACTGTCTTGAGATATTTATCTTGCAAGGCTTTGTTTGTTGTTTCACAGGAATTTGCTCTAGATTCAAAGTCCAATAATAGCAATCTGTACGAGAATTTCGTCTTTCGAAGTGTAAACTTTTTCACTTGAGTCGATTCCAAAGTATTGGTGATCTCTATCCTGCTTTCGTGTCGATAACTGCTCGCTGTAGCATTCCCAGCTTTGTAACCCTCACTGCGTCACTTTCAGACCACAGCTAAGTCGGCCATTCGTGTAAGTTGCTTGCTCCCTGCAAATGTTCGCTGAAATCTATTATTTCCTCCCTTGCTTGGCAAGCATCCTCCCTGTGTTATATGTGCTCGTTTTTTATTTCCTGCCTTCCACTTTATGTGCCCTGTGTCGTTGATACTGAACTTCCATGTGGCTGTAAAATCAGTCAACCTTCTTCCTCCTTCTTTCAGGTCAACTCCTTCGAGCAACTCTGCATAAACTACACCAACGAGAAATTACAACAACTCTTCAACCACACCATGTTCGTTCTCGAACAAGAGGAGTACAGTCGCGAGGGCATACCTTGGGACTTTATCGATTTCGGCCTGGATCTTCAACCCACCATCGACTTAATTGAAAAGGTGAGCTTCACACCCGCACACATGATATCATTTCTGTTAATCGGTGGAAATAATAAAATTAGTATTGGAGCTGTAATTTCAACCCTTTTTGCCTTCCTCATGAAGCCCGTGGGTATCTTGGCCCTTCTCGACGAGGAGTGCTTCTTCCCCAAGGCCACAGACAAGTCGTTTGTAGAGAAGCTGTTTAAGCAGCAGGAGGGCAATGCAAAGCTCTTTAAACCAGAGTTCCGCTCCACATCGGATTTCGGTGTCTGCCACTACGCTGGTCGTGTAGACTACCAGGCTGCTCAGTGGCTGACCAAAAATATGGACCCTCTCAACGATAATGTCGTCGCCCTTCTTCAATCCTCCAACGAACCCCTCGTTCAGGTACTGTGCCATTTTTCCTGTGGGTTTGTTCAAATTCACCTTAGAAGGTGTTTCCATGTTTTCTTTCATGTACTGCTCGCCCCCATATGTTCGCCTGACTTCAAGTGTGACAGCATGAGTCATTATGGCTGGGCTGATTAGCCGACCAGCTGGCTCGTTTGCTTTTGGAAGGCATTTGTCTGGCACATACCTACGCACGCACGCACACATGCACATGCCAGCTTGCAAAAGATCGCACTTGCCCGCATTTGTGTACGGTTCCTTTGTATGGGATGTGCGTTTGTTAGGCGGGGTTGTTGTTGATAAGCTACTTCCGAGCTTTTTAAATCTTCAAAAAAGAACCTTTGCAATTTCTGCTGTTTGATATTTTACGCCTACTAGAAAATCCCATTTTGGCGTAGTATTGCAGTTTGTTTCTTGTGCATTACCTTGTTGATTGGTCGTAATTGGCTGCCTTGTAGTCCTCTAAAGCTTTCTACTGGTATGGTTTAGTGGTATTCTGTGTGATCATCGTTTTGCACCCTCTGAGGCATCGCTTCGGAGAAGTTGGATCTTGGCTGCGTTGGGCGCATTCCGTTTGACAGTCTTGCGATTACCCCTGGGGAGTGCTGCCTGATAAAGTGATTCAATTGCTCTTAATGATCTGCACATCAGAACTGCTAGATGGTTGTACCTGAATCATCGACCTTGCTGCACCCACTCCTTTACAAAACCTTGACACTGATCAGCTTTGATGTGTTGACTAATTAGTTAGTGTTTAGCTGGCTACTACCTTCATGTAATTTCATTTTAAGCTCTTCTCCATATTACAATCGGACGTATATGCCTCGAACGAGTCCGCATACTGCACCACTTCAACAGCGCCACAGACGTCCAATATCAATTCCAACCAATGTTTGTGGATAGCAAGCGCAACGTGCTTAGTCGCTGTAGGTGTTGTCACGCCACATGTACTCACTGGGACCTAAGAGGAGATATCTGCTAGCGGGATTTTAAAAGTCTTTTGCGTGCACATGAATGCACTCGCGATCACGCGTCTATTTTGCATACATACATTGCTAGCCCCGTCTTTTACTTCTCACAATGTGTGTGCGCGTTGACATGCATGCATGCGCGCACCCGTGCACACTTGCTCAAGCATGCACAGCAAATTTGCATGACTGACTTATCTATGTAGATTAAAGGCAAAAACAGAAATTACCATACCGTGAACAAAGCTCCTGTGGTGTCGGCCTCATTTCACAATTCACCGCAACAAATAAATGTGAAGTTTTCTACAGTGTGCTCTCAGCCTGATCCGATTTCCCCTAGCATTGTTTTTTTTTCTTTGTGCATCTGCGAAACCGATTTAGTGATTGACTGAATAGCCACTGGGTTTTGATTTACGAACGCATTACCGCTTGATATCGTTTAACTCCGCTACCATTCCTCAGTGCCCATTCCACATCTGCCCGATAGTTTACTGGTCACACTGCACTAGATGCCATCCTACGTGTATATTTATGATAATCCACGCCAAGAATGCTGTTCCTTCGGCGCATCTAGTTTTGCTTACCTGACGGAACTGGGGCGCTTCGACACCCGACTCTGACTTTTTAGTTAGTTACTAGTGGACAGAACTGCTCCGCCTGGCAGTGTAAAATGCCCTCACCCACTGCAGGCGGTGGAGGTGGTTAATTCGCATTAGTCATCACCTCCACTACTGCTGCTACCCTTGCGTTTATTGCGTTGTGGGAAGTCGGTACGTTCGTCCGTGGGCCTCCCTCGCGCCTTCATCGTTGCCAATCTAGCCCTGTGTTTTGGTCAATTTCGTGCTACCTCTCACTACTCTTATATACAACTCCGAATGTACCTCGAATGCTGATCTTACGCCTCTAAGTTATTCCCTATTGGTGTGGTTGACAGGCCATTTGGAAAGATGCCGAGATCGTCAGCATGTCGGCCACGGCGGGCAACGAGACCACCTTCGGTCCAGCCCGCACCGTCCGCAAGGGCATGCTGCGAACAGTGAGCCAACTCTACAAGGAGTCTCTCATTCGCCTAATGTCAGTGCTGCAGAATACCAACCCCAACTTTGTTCGCTGCATCATTCCAAACCACGAGAAGAAGGCGGGTCGCATCGATGTACCATTGGTTCTGGATCAGCTCAAATGTAATGGCGTTCTCGAGGGTATTCGTATCTGCCGACAGGGCTTCCCCTCTAGAGTACCATTCCAAGAATTTCGTCAACGCTACGAAATCCTCACACCGGACATCATTTCCAAGGTATAACAAGATGGTACTGCTATACGCAGCCGTGACAATTTCGGGTTGTTTTTTTCGGCTCCCTCCATAGATGTCACGTCCACTAGCTTTTCATGCATTCATTCTTCTTTTCACTGGGTAGTCGCTGCGACCATGTTAATTTAATTGTCTATTATTTCAGTAAAGTTGCCTTTTTGTGGGATATTCACTTGGTTTCCGTTAGCTTAATCTGTGTCTCAAAAGCGCCAATTAAATATTTCACGTTATTCATGGGCTCTAAGTCTCTCATGTGCGCAATTGAATCTAGACTCTATTTTCGAAGACTGGAAAAGCTTTTATGAAGTATGGTACACTGCTCCTGACACGAGGCAGTAGTAACTGCGCTAGGGAAGCTTGAAAATTTAAAATTGAAGAAATTACTCGATTATCATTCTGAATTGACAAATAGTACCAAATTTGCCTAAAACACCAGCAAAAAATTGCTCAACACAGTATAAGGTGTCGGACTATCCTTGTTCTGCTCTGTAGGGTTATATGGACGGCTGCAAGGCTGCTGAATTGATGGTGCAACGTCTGGAACTCAGTCCCGAGTTATACCGCATTGGACAAAGCAAAATCTTTTTCAAGGCGGGTGTTCTCGCCCAACTTGAAGAGGATCGCGATCTCCGTTTGACGGCGATCATGATCAACTTCCAGGCCCACTGTCGTTGCTATCTTGCCAAGAAGTAAGCCCAATTGCGAACTCTACCATTGTCGAACCCATACAACATGTATTTCTACAAGAAAGCCATTTCTATTAGACCAACCTCTTGAAATATGATCTGATTTTTAGCGTGATGTTTCTTGTTTTTGCAGGGCAGTTCAGCAGCGTGTTCAGGATATCCAGGCGATTCGCATAATCCAGCGCAACTGCGTGGCCTACTTGAAGCTTCGTAACTGGCCGTGGTGGCGTCTCTTCACCAAAGTTCGACCTCTGCTCAGCGTCACAAGGCAGGAGGAGATTGTTGCGGCTAAGGAGGCGGAACTTCGAATGGTTAGTCGGTTTTTGGAATGGGAGTTCTAGTTGCATCCGCATTTGTTGCTGTCGAGTCAGCTTAAGTTTAAGTGGTTTTTCTCTGACTGTGTTAGAGTTTGCTTCTTACGGCATTTCAACCTAGAGTTCTTGGTTTGCACCAGGGCTTTCATAATGACAATCATTTCCCTTCGGACCTCGTTCTGTTATTTGTGCAATATTCAATTCAAAGAACTGTATGCACTGTCCTACTACACACTTGTTGGCAAAGGCGTTAATTTCAAAATGCGCATTTGTGAACTTCACCTCCTCATCACCAAACAAATTTGTGTCTAGTTTGCGAGATTTGTACTCTACCTTTCGGTGTCGTTTCGGTACTTGCTCGCTCCCTGCTATTTAAGCATACCTTCATGTGAAAGTAGTTGTGAGCTTTAAGTATGCACAAATAGTATTGTATCTCCTTACGTCACCTTTTCCCTGCTATTGATTACCTTTATCGTAACCCCTTGATTTTAAGAAGTGCAATTTTTTTGACACATGTTAATTCTACTTTGTCTTTAAAACGTTTTCCCGTTGGGCCAATGCACGAACACGCGCTTTCACCTATTTGAGTGCTCTGGTAGGCTCGTTAGCATCTTGGAACTTTGTTGTGCCATTGATTCACTGAAACTCCTCATCACTGGCGTATCTCCGTGTTTTCTTTCTGGAAGAGTAATTGATTTTGAGCAGAGTGATTTGGCGTACATGTAATCCAATTTCATTCCGGTTAGGTTTTCGGATAGCTGCGAATTTGCACTTGATTTACACCGTCATTGTGATGCGCAACGAACCGCCTTCAACTGTTTTGTTTGTATACTTTAAATTTCTTATCCACCTTTGGGTTAGAACCACTTGTCTCACAAATTATGATTTTAATGCCTATCTGCCATTTCCTCCCTAATTCCTTCTACTGTGCTGAAAGTGTTCATTTGATTAGGATGTTGTGGTCCTTATTTCTTCCTGATTGCTCTATTTCGTACATGTACGGGTTTTGTTTTTTTGGGAGAAGATAGTTGTATTCTTTGCTTTACGGAACGTTTATTCAAGTTCATGCTTGTTATAATTTCAGGTCCAAGAAGCTCTTGCAAAGACCTCCGCATCTCTCACCGAGACTCGCACAGCCTACGAGGAGGCACATAACAGACTTGTTTCACTCGAGTCAGAGTTGCAAATCGAGCATGAGTCATTCGCCTCACTGGACGAGGTTAGTCTTCCTTATCTATTCTTCCTTTTTTGTGTGGCGTTTTAACCTGACCGCTTGCCTTGAAAGTGTACTTGGACAGCTGCTTCATGACCCAAAAGTCTTCTTGTGAGATTGATGACTCCTTCACCTTGCCGCCAAGGTACGTATGTGCTCACATGAGATCGACCTGGTTGGTTACGCTTCACAAAATTGGGTTGAAGCAAAAGGACTTTTGCTTATTAAGATTATTTCCATTATCACTTGGATGCCATATATTAGCGTTTATTTATATTTTCGTTATGGAATTGTGTTTAAGCAAGGGCAATCTTATTACTGACATTAATCGGTTGCTGAATTTTATCTGCTATTGCTATGATAGGATTGATAGAATTCTCAGGCATTTTCGAGTTCTTTATTGTTTACACTTTACTTCTTTTCTCTTTTCGATACAATGTAGTTCCAAAGGGGCGTTATTATTCTTTTTTCGCTTCAAGGATTTTAAGACATCGGTATTTATTTACATAACGACTTTTCTAAGCCTTGATCACCAAGTACTGCAAATGGCGTGGTTGTATTCCACTAGGCAGGGCTACCGCAACTCCACTGTGTGATGGCAGCAGTTATCCAACTGATCTCTTTCCCATTTTTCTAGCGCGAGAGGAAGCTGCGAGCCGATTACCAGGCCGCCTTGGAGGAAATCACCGATCTTGAGAATCGCGAGAGCGAATTCAAGGCCTTGATTGGTGAACTTGAGACCCAAAAGAAGACCCTCTCTGATCAGGTCGGTGTTCAATCCATTCATTTTTCGTTTAATCGACAACTAGTTTTATTTGGAGTAAATTTTAGTACTACACGTTTTTTAAATTCGAACAGGTTGGTGACATTTCTGACCAACTAGAAGTCGAAGAGCAACATCGCCAGAAGCTTCAATTGGAGAAGGGTTCACTGGAGCAGACCTTGAAGGGTCTCAATGAGGAGCATGCGGCGTTGGAGGATAGGTACACGAAGTTGGAGAAGGAGAAGAGGTCAATTGAGTCGCGTCTGAATGATCTCTCAACCCACTTGACCGATGAGGAGGAACGCTCCAAACAGCTGTTGAAGCTGAAGTCCAAGTACGAGTCGAGCATCTCAGAGTTGGAGGAGAAGCTCTTTAAGGAGCAGGCGTCGCGGCAGGATCTAGAGCGCGCCAAGCGACGTCTGGAGACGGAGATCTCCGAAAAGGCTGAACAGGCTGCCGATCACTCGCGTCTCATTGACGAGCTTAAGCAGCAGGTGGCTAATCTTGAGGCTAAACTCTCTGAGACTCAACAAAAGCTGGATGATGAGGTTATGGCGAAGACGGTAACAATGAAACAGGTAAGTCCATTTGCTGTGTAGGCCGTCACTTTGCTTTTGTTGGTGGTACGAACTACCAAAATTGCAGATTTTTTTGGCATTCTGCTCTCATTGCTGTGTCCGCCCTCCATGTCACTACATTACATGTAACACTCACTTTTGAATGGATTTTTTCAGTATAGATTTCACAGCCGAGTTCCACTATCTATTTTGCAATTTGTGTTGCTATTGGCGAAGCTTTTTGCTTCCTACAATTTGTTAATTTGTGATCCAGTTCTAACTTGAAACGTGTACCTATAGTATAGTTTCTTATAAATCACGGCTTAGCATAACATTTGGTCCAAACGTTTTTGAGATATTTATGTAACCACCTCTAACAATACACATTTAACATTCTTGTGCTCCATAGCTTCGTGTTTTATTTGCTTTTCTTGCGAGCTGGTTCCTGTTTGAAACGCGTACTTATAATGAGATTCCTTAAAATTATGATTTAGAATAAAAATCGCCATCTCTACGTATTACTGACTTCATTAAGTGGCAGAATGTATCCAAAATCTCTTATCTAAGTTTTTGAGAGGTAGGAAGAGAATTTAGGTTCGTACGCTGTAGAACGGGTTTCTTTTTACAATTTTGGAATTTCATTATGAAAACGTGCATAATCTGGAGGGATGATAATCCACATATGTTTGCCAAAATGTAAACGCTGTCAACAGCTTTGCCCCTTTAACTCGAAGTTCGTTTTGGCGCAAAGTTCGCATCTCTTATCTCCTGGCATTTCGATGCTGATAGCTGGCTAGTAAGGTAAGTTATTATTCCAAGAATGAGTCAATGAGGAATTCGTCCGTTCTAGCTTCGTGAGGTAGAATCCTCGGTGCAGGAGTTGAGAGACGATCTGGAAGCAGAGAAGGCGGCACGTGACCGAGCGGAGAACCGAAAGCGCGACCTTAAGGAGGAGTTGGAAGCTCTTCGCCTCGAACTTATCGACTCTGGAACCAATTCTGAGGCTCAGGCTGAAGCTCTGCGTAAACATGAGGCAGAACTTTCCAACGCGCGCAAGCAAATTGAAAGCGATGCTGCGTAAGCCGCGTCTTACCCCCTAGGCGTCACTTTTTTTCTTTTACACTCGACACCTCCCGCGTTCCTCCTTTCTAGTGCTCACGAAGCTGCTGTGGCTGAATTGCGCAAGAAGTACAATGTCAAAGTTGAACAGCTTACGGAACAATTGGAAGCCATGAAGCGTGTTAAGGTGGCCATGGAGTCATCCAAATCCCAACTCGAGGCCGGTAATGCTGACCTCACCAACCAACTCAACACTGCTCTGGCTGCCAAGTAAGCAGTCGCATTATTCAGAACAATCGGGTATGATTCCTGAGCTCCAAAATCACCAATATTTTATTTTGTTTTTGCAGAGCAGAGTCGGAGAAGAAGCGTCGTGCAATTGAGCAGAAGTTGAACGACAAGTTCATGAAACTTGAGGAGTCGGAACGTCAGCGGGCAGACATTGAGGAGAGGTTTAGCAAGGCACAGGCTGAGCTGGAGGCGGCAAACAAGGCTTTAGAGACCTCGGAAGCAGAATTGACTAAGTTGAGTCATTTGGATGCGAACAACGTTGCTACCATCGCCGAGTTGAAACAGAGTTTGGAGGACGAGACACGCGCCAAATTAGCTTTGCAGACGCGTCTTAGACAGGCCGAATCGGAACGTGAGGTCGCGAAAGACGCTCTGGATGAGGAGGAACAGAACAAACAGGCCCTTGAGAAGCATGTCCAGATGCTTCAGCAACAGGTTCGTTTGCTTGCCTATCCTCTGCTCTCTCTCTATGCCCTTTCTCTCGATGCGTGTTATCGATCTTATTTAAGATGGACGATGTTAAAGCCAAGGTTTCTGAGGATGCCAAACAGTTGGAGGGACTGGAGGACATTCGCAAGAAACTTCAACGTGATAAGGATGAGCTGGCCAATCGCAATGAGGAGCTTACGGCACAGGTTGAAAAGCTGGAGAAGTCACGTCGCAAGCTGCAGGGAGAGGTAAGTTTAACTAATCTTACATAATTGTGTTTTGTATATATATATATATCGGTTCCATTGCAGCTGGAAGACGCAAATCACGCACTAGCGGCACAACGGTCTGATCAGGTGAACAGTGATCGTCGATTGAAAAAACTGGAGGCTTCGTTGGCGGACGCCATGGCGAACTCGAGGAGGCTGCAGGAGGAGAAGGACCAGGTGGACAAAGAGATGCGGGAGCGTGAGACTCAACTCCTTACACGAGATCGCGAGTTAGAGGACCTTCAAGAACGTCTAGAGGAGTCTGAACGCCAGCGGGCCAATCTGAGTCACGAATTGGAAGAGCTCGTTTCTCACACTGATGATGCTGGAAAGAGCAAAATCGAGCTGGAGCAGATCAAATTCCAATTAGAGAACCAGCTGAAGGAATTAAAACAGCAGTTCGAAGAACTAGAGGATGATCAGGCTCAACTTGCCATGGAGAAACAGCGCGCTGATGTAAACTTCTTAATTAGTTTTTTCCCTGAGTGGTAATTGAGGTCCCCGGTAATTTTTTTCGCCTTATTCATTACAGCTTCAAATCAATGCACTGAAGACGCAGTTGGAGCGTGAAGTGACAAGCCGTAATGAGGGCTTTGAGGAACAGCGTCGTCAGTTGTTGAAGCAGTTGCGTGAGGCGAAGGAGGAGTTGGAGGATGAGAAGAAGCAGCGGGCTACCGCCCTGCTCATGCGCAAAAAGATGGAGAGTGATCTTGTTGATGCTAATCAACGCGGGGATGCGGCGGATCGACAGCGCGAGGAGGCGACGAAGCAGTTGAAGCGTCTTCAAGGTGTCAGTATTGAACTCAAACGTGATCTAGACGCTTCGTTGAAGGCGCGCGATGACGCTATTGCGGCGATGCGGGAGCTGGAGAAGAGAATCCGCACCGCGGAGGCCGAGCGGGCCCAGGCAATAGATGATCTTTCCACTTCAGAACGGGTTTGCCGAACCGCCAAAGTGGAAAGAGACGAGGCTCTTGAGGAGGCCAATAGTGCCCTCACTGCCAAGTAAGTTCCTTTCCGGAATGGTCTGTATTACTTTGTTTTGGGCTTACATCCTTTTAATTTTTAATCATTTATTTTCTGTGCTTCCTTTTGCACGGTATAATTTCATAAGCTTGAATCTTCATTGCGCATGTTTACCATTCTTTTGCGTGTGCAGTTCTACTTTCTATTAGGCCTTTAATCAAGCTTTATCAGGATGTCATGCCTATTTGATATTCGGTTTGTTTTGCAATCAGCTTCTCATAAATGTCTCTCCTTTCTTCACTCCCAGTGTTTTTATACTGCGAATTGGAAACCTGTATCATGCAGCACAGCGACTTGATATTACCTGATGTATGTATTTGCATATACTTTGTGCGTTATAGGTTCATCTCCTTTGAAAATGAAAATTGAAGAAAAAGTACCAATTATTAAAGTGGTATCACTGGGACTTTCACGCTGTTAATTTCAGAAGGATCAGACGCTTTAGGGTGCGTATTCAGGTCTCTCGCTGACCAGGCAGAGGCTGTCCTATTTGATCAATTATAGGTTTCTGATATGGTTACTTCATTAGTTAACTTATTTTCGAGTAACCTATTGTTGGAAGGCTTCGAAAATTGTTTTGATAAGACGTGAGCTTCTAAGTTTATTAAGAACTATTTTGTCCCCCCTCATGCTACTGTATTTGACCCAACGCCTTGGATCTTTCGAATAATGGTTCCTTCTCTCTAGTCAAATTTCATCTTATGGAAGGAGGTGGTCTCTCTTCAGCGCGGAAATCCTAGTGCAAAAGCGCATCAAAAACTGCAGTGTTCGTACCAGATGAATGCGAAGCATTCAGAAATTACATTCTTAGGTCTGTTGATCGACTAACAGTTTGGTACTCTTCATAATGGTTGGGGCCTATCACCCCTGTGCTGGAAGTTTGCCACATTTATCGTCTCAAATCGTGTGGTTACAGTGAACACAATAAAGAAAAATTTTTGGTTCAAAAGCAATCTGGCCGTGCTTCGAAACTTGAAAATGGCCCCTGTGGATCGTATCCAACATCGGACACCGTTGAATTATATCAAGTTATCCTCCATGATGTGGTGTCGTCTACTCTACACGGGGGTCTATGTGTGCACGTGTTAGCACAACTGCCCAAAACGCGGAGTGAAAAACCTCATTAATGATAATGATGCTCCCGCTGTCGCGATGATGCACTCCCATGGCCGATTTAAGACACACCAATTCTCCATCGTACAGGCACACGATCATAGTTTCGCTTCTCTTAGACGATTGGCCGGTGTGTATGTATATGTGTGTGTGTGGGTATGACAACCAAAATCCTTTGTTTTCCCTTCTTTCGTCTGACTCCTACCTCATCTCTTTATGATTGACAGGGAACGCCATATGGTGAATTCTTCCCACGATTTGGGATGTTCTGTGTGGTGAATGCTGACTATTGTCTTACTGAACAGCGAAAGGAGGGTGAACTAGCCGTAACATATTTGACTTTCCTGTGCATCATATTTGCATCCTCATTGTCATGGCAGGCAAGATTCTTTCTCACAGACTTACAAGTAGAGGTAATTGCCAATTTGAACAAGTACTCTTGCGGTCTTGTTTTTTCCTGCTACCGTTTTTGTGTGTAGTGAATTTACCAACAACCAAAAGTTGGGCGTCTATCGTTTCTGGACTCATTGAACTCTGCCAGTTTTCTCGTATGTTATATTGCTGCTCCCGGGTTTCCCTTGAAAGCGATGTAAAGCAGACTAGTTTAAAAGCGATGGTTTCGTGCTACCTGTATATAGTGCCCCTGGTATCTCGTGGTTTCATAACTTCTAACTACTGCTTTGGAAAGAGTGACTTATTCGGGGAGTAGCGCTACTATGGTCCCCCGTGAAAAGCGTTAGAGGTTCTTGGTGAATTTCCAATCTTAGAACTACTTCATTGCATCCACATTGTGTAATGCAATACCGATGACCACCGTGCTTCACTTTGCTTTTAAGGGGGTAAAATTGCATGTGTTTTATATGCTATCCTGTTGCATAATGTCACTAAGACATATCTGTTTAAATTGCTTCTGTAAGGGTCTATCCAAAACTCTCTGTCATATCGTTCATTTCACCCCTGCTCTAATAATATTATGTTGCAGCACCGCCACGACCGGTTTTTGACCCCTAAATTTGTAAGTGATATTTGAGAACTTGGACTTGTCGAATGCTTTGGGACTGTTTTATGTATCTAGAGTGATTAGAAGGCATTTATCCTATCTTTTTTAATTGTGATTATTACGTGCGAGTTACTGAGCTGCTTCGTGTATTTCCACCTCTGCCCCAAGAAACACCCTGCTGGAGGAGAAAAAGCGTCTAGAATCGGCGATGATGCATCGTGACGAGGAATTGGAGGAGGCGCAGACGGCTCGTGAGGAGGCAGAGGATCGCTACAAACGCACCCTCGGTCTGCTTGAACAGGCTCAGATCGACTTGGGCTTGGAACGTACCAATGCGCAGCGCATTGAAACTCAACGCGCCACCTTTGAGAAGCAGATCAAGGAATTGCGTGAAAAGCTCGCCGAACAGGAGCGTGACAGTGGCAAGCGACTGAAGCTTCAGGTCGCAACGATGGAGGAGCGTCTAGCTGCGATGGACGAGCAGTTGGAGAATGAGAACAAGGAACGACAGAATGCCAATCGCACAGCTCGTCGTTTGGACAAGCGCCTCAAAGAGGTCTCGCTGCAGGTACGCGAGTTCTATAGGCGTTGATTTTCGACTCACCGCCCTAGCAGGGCATTAGTCACCCACAAAGCAGGTACCTCTGAAAGGAAACCATTCTTCTCTGATTGGTCCGCCTTCTCTAGCCGCTTCTACGCCCTCTCCATTGGTACTGTCATTGTTGTTGTGGCCATATATGGCTAGTGAAGGAAAAGCCTGCTCTTTCATTATCTTTGAATGAACTATCAAATGATATGGGCAAGCAGCAAAGTTGATTTGGATTTTCTTTGGTGATTAACATAGGGAATTTTGTAACTATCCAGTCGTGCCTGACTGTACGCAACAGACCTACTCATCCTATTTTGTGTACATGTACTGGAAAAAAGAACAGATTTCAAGGGTTGGAAACTACTTTAATACAAAGTCCTTTCTCCATTTATGCCGTAACCATTCCATTCCATTCTAAGACGACAGCCGGCTTCTGGGAAATCCCTATGGTTTCACTGCATTAGTGCTCGCTCGGATTTCTGCTTATGTTTATGCATCCTGTTTTCATCGGTACTGATGTGATTCACAAAGTCTTGCTTTCGTTGTCGCGACACCTCCACAAATCAGTATAGCATTCAGCCCTTGTGCAGTGTTTGTGTTAGTCTTCCACAGAAATATTTGTCTCTTGTTCAACTCCACGACAGATTGTGTATCAGTTATTCAGAATTAAGAATTTCACATATGATTGTTTGCTGAAGTGGCTACTGGGTTTTGCGCTGGGAGCTTGGCCGCTAAGTTCGGAATCGCTACTGACGAATGGACTTACGCCTCTCTAAAGTGTTGCCACCGCTCAAATGCCTCATCACTGCATTAACTGTGCTTGAAACCTTTGTAAAAATAGATGTTCGCGGGTTTTGTGTCTTCTTTCGGAGTGAAACCTACCACCACAATTTCATGCAAACATTACCATTGCCATCTTGATCGTCGATGGCAACAATGTGCGTGTCAACGATCACTGTTTTATTGGACGTACTTTTCACTTACTACCACGTGTAGGTTGTAAGATGTCCATGGCTGAATCCCCCTTTATTAACTATAAAACTAAAGGCTTCAATTGAATTGGAAACTCTCTTACGTGCAAAGGCACCGAATATCTTGTTTTGAGGCTACGTGATTAGTGGCAACATTGCAGGAATGTTCTCTCTTGTTTTCATAGCTGGAGGAGGAGAAAGCCTACGTGGCACAATTGAAGGACCAGCTGGAGAAGACGCAGACAGCCTGCAAGCGAAGCAAGCAGAACCTGGAGGCAATGGAGGATGAAGCAAGCAATCTGAGAACGCAGAAGCGTCGCATCCAACGAGACCTCGAGGAGACTACTGAACAGAAGGAGAACGTTGAACGCGAGCTCCAAATGCTGCGTGCAAAGCTTAACCGGTACGTGGACAATGATGAAGATACTAATACCGTCTAACTATCTCCATTTTCCTAAAATCGACGGTTTAAGCCCTCTCTACAAGGTGAATCATGTAGGGCATCCATAGTTGAAAAGGTCACGTCCTCACCTCTCCCTCTCCTTCGATGAAGAATACTGTTAAGTGATATTTTGTTCCGAATACGAACCTTTCACCCCACATAAATGTACCTTGCCTCAACAGCCAAACGTGGTATGCGGATGGACATTGCGATGTCGTCCCTCAACTACCATTCTACAGGTGAAGTGTGTGCTTGTGCGTGTGCGCAGGAAGCCAAATATAGCAATGATGATTAGAGAAACGGATTATTCTCCTCTGCCTCGCATTTAGTTATATGCAAATTTCTGGCGTGTCTGATTTTGTTTTATCTGCATGCCCGCTCTGATCACTATCATGTGACCACATTGATCCCCCAGGTTCTCTTCTCGAGCAATGGACGCACTCAATGGCGACTCGGACCAGGAATCCTTTGATATCTTGTAATTTTTCATGTCGGCATTATTCGTGTTAATGTTTTTGCCGTTGTTGTTTCTATCGTTTTATTGTCTAGCTCTGCGCTTTCCTCCTGCTTATTTCCCTTTTTTTTCTGCGTGCGTGTGGGTGTGTGTGTGCAAGGATGTCAAAGTACTGGTTTACTGATTTATTGGTACTGCTCAATTTTATTACTCCTTCGGTTTTTTCTCAGGGCATCTCAATTTTGTGACGGATAGACGGTAACTCGTCACAGTGTTGTCCACCCATCAATGTACTGTTTTGGCTACCTGAGGGCATAATTGCGTCTATTCTTTTGTGCATTTCCGTAATCTGGTGGCAGATTAAACGGTTACTTTTACCGTTTTTGTCATTATTTTGTATGCTTGTGCAATAGCCCGCTTGCTTCTCCTTTCAATGTCAGTGCGCCAAAAGTGTGATTTAGCTCATTAAATCAAATTTGTCCTCTCTCTTTGTAGTGGTGCGCGTAGCGCCCCCAGGGGGCCCACCGGTGCCTCCCGTCCTTCAACTCAGACAGGTGTAGGAGGGACCCCTGAGGACGCCCAATCCGCTGCTGATGCTGAAGTCTCGGGATCCAGCGAGGGTACCCTCAACGAGACCAACAGCTCGGCTACTTAAAACAATTCCGATAAATCGCTTTGAGTGATATCTACCCTTCTACCTGCTCCTCTACCTTCCTGACTGTCTCCCTGTCGCATTCTCTCCCATGTCATAAGCCTGACTTGAATTTTCGCTCTTCACTTCCACTGCTGCCGCCTCCCCTGGGACGGGAAAGGAGGAAGGGGTTTGTTGCCTCGGGCCTCACCTCTTCCCCCGCCTACTTTGCGCCCTCCCAGCCCCGGTTGATTGTACATGCTGTCATTGGTTTCCGTGGCCACTATTTTGCAGATACTACTGCAATTAATCGTGTTACTTCCACGTTTCCTCTCTCACCCACTCATGCTCACTGTCCTGCTCCAGCGCCAGCAGCAGCAACAACATTCTCCCACGAAAGAAAGTAGAGAGCATAGAGAGACGTCCGTTTCACTCGCCTTGCCTCTGCTGCCGGATTTTTACTGATAAGAACTGTCTTTTTGCCTATTGCACCGCTCCGCTACCCGTCTCTACTCCCTTCCACCTACTCCACTTATTTCTCTTACCATCCAAACAAACTCGTCACAAAAGTCTCCTTATTCACACTTTTCTACGAGAAATATGTTTTCAAAAGGTGAATCCGCGTTTTATTTGTACCCTTTTGTGCAGCTGGATATTGAAGTGGCTTCAATCTCTGGAGTGAGGTGGGGGTGATATTTGGTTGTGGTTTAAAGAGTGGATTAGACCGTCACCGTCCATTACGATTTACATCTTTTTGAGTGCTCCTTTTCAACGCTGACGTTGGTTAAAATTCAAGGTCCTCACACCACTAATACACAGGCAAACGACGAGTAGGTGGATGCAACAAGTTTCCTTTGAAGCAGATGGCCTTTGGAGGTGTTGATGCTCAAGTTTGTAAATGATGCAGCTGAGATGACAACTCAGCAGAAAGGAGATTTCTGTATCACCCCGGGCGATTGCCTTCTTGCATGGTGCATGCTCGTCTGCCTAACGTCAGGGCAGTTTTATTGGGCTGCATACCAACCAACACTTTAGTGCCGCTGGATTTTCTCGTTTTCTGGTCAAAATGTCTCTGATGGCGATAGCTTTACCATCAGCACCGGTGTGTAATGCGACTCCACATTTAAGCTAACCCTCTCGGTGAGAGGATGCGCGTCTTGTGGATTGCATTGATTGATTCCATAGGCTCGTGGATACATTAGTCAACAGATAGTGCTGAGCCCACAGTCCTAATACACATAAGGCCTTTCCCGGGTCATGCATAGCGTGTACCATGAAACCCAAATGTATTCCCAACACAACCACCGACTTCAGTCCTGAAAGTCTCTTGGCTGCACTCATGCATCACGCTCACTTCTGTTTCATAGACGAGGTTGGCTATGCGTGCACTTTGATTAATTACGCCACCTTACGCTAAAGCGCTAGGAAAGGCGAAATGATTGTTTTCAAAGGTCATGCAAAATGTTTTAGTTTTGTGCTCCGTTTAAAATAATAGCGAGCTATACGAGAGTTTTAAAGCAGGCACTTTCGCATATTTGAAGAATGAATGGGGCAGCAAATACCTATTCGCCACCAATACCTCGAACCCATTCCTTATAAATGCTAAAAGTAGGGGATTTACACATACATTCGGAACAATGGTATTAGCGGATCATCTGTTAAAACCCGTTTCAAATACTCAAAATAAATAAATACGGTGCAGCATAAGTTCAAGAATTGCAAACAGGATTACTACTTTGACCAATAAGTAGATTACTCCGGTAAAGTGGGTGGGACTGTGCAAACCAGCTGGGTTTTGTCGGCAGATGTCGCGAGGTGATTGATCCAAAAATTAAGGTTTTGTAATAAGTCCACCAACATAGCGCAGACCAAGAGATCCCAAAATGTTAAAACATAATTTTGTGTCGACGTTGATAATTTGCAAGAATTGACAAACTCTTAAGATTGAAATAAGTTAGTAGAAGTAAACATGCATGCAGTTCATACAACAGTGATAGGCACATCCTATAAGCATATTACAATAATTAAAAAAATCAATTTAAATACTTTGTAACCGAATGACATTGTATTTGATGCAGTTATTTGACATACACTTGGACGTTGCAGGTGAGATATTCTCTACTGATCGTACCTCCGACTTGATGGCATCTCCTTTCACCAAGTTTGTGGCCCTCCAGCTACCCTTTACTTTAATAGTAGTATGTTTATAGCTTAGGTATTTTATCATATCACAAAAAAAACTCGGACTCTGTATTGGTGACAACAACAGACGATAACGATGAAAAAAGGGCATTTGCTTTGAGTCGCTTGGGTGGTCATAAAATCTAACTTCACAGAAGAAGATTGACTGTTGTGGATGTCTAAATCTACGGATGGACACAACAGAAGGAGATTGAAGTTTCCACCAACCCTAAGAACCACCACAGTTTATTTTTCTGCATTAAAAAGAATTAGAAAAAAACATTTGACTCGGACAATTAAAAAGCAGCCATAGTGAACCTTTTTAATGGTCCCCAAGCAAGCGTGATGTTTGTAAGCGCTATATGTCTTTTTGCCATCAACCAAATGGCATCTAAAATTCAAGGCTAGATAGCAATAAAAGGAGAAATAGGAAGCAGGACAGAGAAAGAATATTAACTCTGGAAATCTGCTTCCTAGACTTTTGCTAGATAATTTCTCTTTTGGGCAAATATGTCTACTATTAGCGTGTCTAAATAAAGCACATGGTCTTATGATAAAAAGTAATTTACCCATAAAACTCAATCTCAAAAGCGATTCAAAAAACAGACAAAACTCCCTGTACAGTGGCGCATTCGAAACGCATTTCTGACGCGGGAGCCAAAACCGTTCTCCTTTCTATGAAAATGTAGTGCCCAATACTCTCAAGTTATGAGTCATGTTTAGGGTACTGACCCCGGAGGAAAGTGGTATAGAAGAAGTCATGATTTGTCATTCGTGTGTCAGTAATGCCGAATTAATTAAGAAAGGGATTAGAGATGGGCCTACATTCGCTTGCGCACTCCTCAAAGCGGCATTGAAGCAAGGTCGTACTCATAGCATTCCAGTAATTTTATTCGTCAATAATAATGCGCTTTTTTACTAATGTAAAAATCTAAGTATTAGCAGAAGATTCTGTCCAATTAGTGACTGTAAATTGTTGCTGGTTAGATAAATCTTCATTAGGTCGCAAGCCTAATCTATGAAGGAAGGCCAGATAGACATAAAAGGTAATGCTTTTTAATAAAACTATCATGCATTATTTGTGTTTGCAAAGTATTAATGCGGTTTTATACACTGTCTTGTAATGGATAGGTGAGTGGTTACATTAAGCAAGCGCTTCTAACGAATTGGAGGTCAGCAGAGACCATTTATTTGGGCTAAGTAGGACGATTGAACCGTTCGTGATGTTCAGGTGGGGTGCTCATGTATGACGTTTTGAAGAGATGCTTTGGTTGTTCAGCCCAATTTGTTACCCAGGTGAGACAGGGAATCTTCTGCGTTTCCAGGGGGGTTTTGTGGAACATTGGTAAACATTGGAATTTTGATGCAGAAGGTTTTTACGAGCTTTCAGTCATTCACGAATTTCAATATAACATTCCTGATTTTTTGTTTCAAGTGGTATTGGTAATATTCGGTTGGTAATCGCTGTACTAAATATTCCGCACAGTCTCTCTCTTTAACGCGTATGCCGGCTTCAAATATTAGCCGAATGCCAACGCAGTTAAGAACAAATGCCAACAATTTTTTGACGAATGGTTTTTTTCGGAATGGGACCCCAGTATGCACGTTCTTCTATTTGTACTGAGCAGAATTGTATTCAGGGTGATGATTACATCGAAGACAATTTTTTGGACTTATGCCAACGGAAAACTTTTTGTCATCCAACATTAGCAATGCTATTCAGTGCGAAGGAAATTAAACCAAACATACTAAGTGGCCAGTTTGCAGAATCAAGGCATGCAGATGTTTCAACGGTGCATCCGGGACCTGGTGGTGATGGCCTCATATCACAGAACCCGGGCAAGCCAAAACCTCTCCCACCTCCGCCTACACCATGTGGTGGAGTGTTCGCTCTGAACACCTTTTCTTCTGACGATTATTCTTTTACAACCAATCCCAATGATATGAATAGTCTTACTTCGTCGGATTGGGGGGATGAAGCATGTGTAAGTCAAGTATAGTCCTGCGAATTGACTTCAGTTCCTTCTTTTATAAAGCCTTGACGACTTTGTTTTTTAGGAAATTGACAGGCAGCGATCGCAGCATGTACAGCAATTATTCAACTTCATTGATCAGATGCTTTTTGAACCAGAATGTCTAAAGACTAGTACTTCCTCCAATCAACCAAGAAATTCATCCGAGCTAAAAAGAGGTATCAACATACACGTGATCTATGTCAATAACTCTGTGGTAATTAAGCTGGGATGTAACTTACTTTATTTTTCAATGCTTAAAAAGCGATTGAATAGTCTCACACAATTGCAGGTTACAAAAGCCACATTTAATATGAATATCGTTCGTAATAGATATTTGACGACTATAACACTTACTAAACTTGCATTCAAAATGACATATCAGGTAATATTTAAGTGCATTTTAATGGTGCAGGAACAAGTTTACGTGTCTTTTATGTAAGACTGGGAAATACCATGTATCTATTTGGGAATACCTGGAAATTATTAACGCTTTCCAGGTGATATAGGTTTTAATAGTCCATTTCAATACATTATTTAATGTGTGTTGCACTTACGATAGTGTATTGATTCCAAAGATGGGAAGGAATTCATAAAGTGCTTTGAGCGCCCTCCCTACAATCACAACTGGATGATCACTTGTACCATAATTTACACTATCAGGACACAAATTAGCCTGAAAATAAATATGCTTTAGTCAGTCAAATAATCAGCAACTTTTATTTGCTCGACAAGTGCTAGTTATTTTCCAAAGTTATGCAAAATTTTGACAAAACTCCTTTCTTAATTCCCTGGAATTCTTCAGGACATGGCACATTTTTGCAGTAGTTTGGTCGCAAAATACTGTGTCTTACACAAAAAATGATTCAAAGCATTAATAGTACATTAGCTGATTTACAAATTATTGTCCTAATTTTGCAAATCACCGACTCTTGTTTCAATACATTTAATAGATCATGGATCAGTATAGAGTTACCAAAAATGTAATTCCGTTTATTTACATAGCTCACCGATGACCACAGTTGGATATGAATTAAGTGGGGTTCAATCAATTTAACGAGTAACTAGTCTTTCTTTAATGTGCTGTTGTGTAGACTAGGCCTCTCTCCAGAATTTAGTTGTAACCAGGCCGATTTTGGATTTTACGATTAATTGCTGTTTTTATTTGAAAATTATGAGATATTGGTAGGTATATGGGATTCGGAATAATACCTTTATAAAAATTTGATTAGTAATATCTATAGTAATCTTTTCAGTGGAACAAATGCTGGTAATTTCCTTTGGTTGTCATTTTACTAAAATGTGGAGAACCTCACCCACTTTGGGTTTTTCTTAATTTCTACATACACGATGCAACTCTGGCAGTATATTCATTGCTAAATGATAGTGAATACACAAATACCCTAAACTACAATGATAATTTATTGGTTATAAGTCGATAGTCGCCTACACTTTGATAGCGAAGAATAAAGTCAATAAAATATTAGTCAATCGAGAATTTCCAAATGGGGCCTTCATTTAGCTTATTCATGCATTGCATTAGCATTTAAGATGAAAGAGTTGTTCAATTGCTCTTAAAGTCTGCCAAAATTTACTAAAGTGTAGTTAGTAGTTTTTACCACCTGTACTTTCGGTGCTAGCACTTTCAAATTTTTTAAGTCTGTTAACATAGGATGCGCTTATTGCGCTGGATTCGTTGCAAAATTGTGGCGAACGCGCAAGGTGGCTTGGATGGGCGCTTTTCAAACCATAAACTCACTACGAACGTAGTAAATCTCGGATTAGAACACCCAACAACCTCTTAATGAAATCAAAGTTATCGCCCAAGACAATCCAGAAGTCAATTTTTGTCTGCAAATAACAGTTTGCATTTTAAAGAACATTTCGTGCTTGCATAATGTGCTGCTGTTTGAACTAGGCCTCTGTGGCCCCTCCAAACGACTGGCCAGTTCTGACTTTGCCTCGGTGAAGCACCTAATACCCGAGTGCGAGGAGTGGGTGGCAAAGTTTCCCCACTTTCGCCTCCATGGTGTGCAGATTCAACCGCCTCTGATGAACTCGAGAAGACAGCCGCAACAATGGCAACCCATGGTAGGACAGCAAATTAGACCCCCCGATTACCGCTTGGATGCACCACCGCCCACAATGCGGCGATTCACTCGATCGCCAGAGACTATCAGAGCGCCTCAAATTCCGCTGGACTTGCAGAATGTACCCCGCTTGTGTCTACCAGCGTAAGCCAATGTTTAATATTCACTTTATCGTCCCATATACGAGAGTTTTTACCTTCCTGGGCGATAATGAGTTCAAAAACCATAGTGCTAGAGCACAATACTATTTCAAATAGCGTTGGGCATTACCTTAGAAATATGTATATCTGATCAACGAAGCTGTAAGACAATATGTCACTTTGCTGCTTCTGATATTATGGCTTTCACAAGCACTTATGAGCCCTCTCAACTATTATTCTTTACAGCTTTTAACTGTAAACTGAGCGTATCCATCTGAGTGGTTGAACCTTAAGAACAATACTCCTAACCCCTTTAAAAGTTGAAACTGTTCAAAGGTTTGTTCCATTTGTTCAAGATACAGCAATACGGTAAAATACTAATCGACGCAAAACTTAATCCTAAGATAATGCGAACATAAAATGCATAGGAATTTGTGCTGAAGCCTAACGTTTAAGCATTGCAAAAGCGCAGGTTTCGATGATGCTGTCTAGTTTTCCATGGTAGTCAAGATTTTGGATTCCTAATATTTTTTAAGGTAATACCTTTTCCAGAGTAAATAATTTAAAGAGATGTCGTTTTATCCCCCTACTAGTTTCGAGTTTTGTCAAAACGCCTTCCACTTCAAAACAGCCATTATTACATTTATACGAACCCACTTATCTTTTCGTTTCAACTTTCCAAGTGTTATACCTTGTTTTCAATGCCACCTTCGAATCAGCGACACATCTTCCCCATGGTAGAGGATGCATGCTCGTGTTACAGACACCACTGCGTGCTTGGAGATTTGTAATGATGAACTCACGTTTGATCGTCAGTGAAAATTTGTGGCTTTACTCTTTCGTCAGTTTCGTAGATAGCTATTTGGCATTTGCTTTACTATGCATCAGATTATAAGTATATTCAGCAATTCACCCGGATCGCTCTTTTTTCTTCCTCACCCGGACTGCCACACCAGTTACCGATAGTTTAAATCTCCTTTCCTTGCACTCATACGTAAATTTTTGTAGTAAATCATCATTTTAATTTCGAATACGATGGCGAAAGCGGATTTACGCGCCTGAAACAACTTTTGTCTGCGAAAAGCTTTGGTGTAATATGCCTATCCGTTTCTTAGTCATCTTGTACGTCCTACTCTTGTGTGTGGAAATGCAAGGACACGCGGCTGTCGTCCGGCCTAATTAACCTCCCGTGATATATTCAGCAAAGGCAAATGGCTACAGCTCTTCTTACTTCAGCGTCTTTCTTGGAAATGCAGTAGTTCAGAATTTTGCATGCCCGAAGGCTGCATGCCCTTGCAGCACGGCTTATACACCCAGAGCACTTCCACTTATCCCTATAAAACAGCATATTCATATGGCATTATGTTTTTTTCTTTTAAAACAGTTTGGAGCAGCCTTTTTTGAGCCAACGCACAAATTATATGAACTCTGTAGTTTTTCGCATTAAACCATTAATAAAACAACTTTGCATGGAAAGCTTTAATTAAGCGCTTTTTAAGCATTCAGGAGTAGCGATTGTGCTTGTTAGCTTAAGAGCCACCTGAGTCAACCAGGCTTAATGACCCCCGCTTGGGTTGGTTTAACACATAACTTTAGGCTTACTATTCATAATTTATTTATTTCGTGAATGATGCGACAGTGAACCAGAAATAGAATGTAATGGAGATGTTTCAGGTGGCCAATCTTTGGTGATATGAGTATTGTTGAGTCTCAAAACGAATGAAAATTTTCCTCTGTTAATAAAAAGGAGGACTAAATGAGTATTTGGAGCAATTTTTACAAGACAGGAATGGATCATTCGTTTGAGGGTTAACGAATAGGTGACAAATAGCTCCAGTGACTCCGCGTATCATGTCAGTATAATAGATCATGTATGCATACATTTTCATTTTGAAACCCCAATATGGTCGAATTTTAGCATTCTCTTTCTAGTTTTCAGCAGGTCTCGCGCTTTTTCATCATTTCCATTATGTCCAGAAAAGCGTGTTTTGACATCTTGACACTTAGTTTCCCGCTAAGTCCAGTATATCTATTATTTTTGCAAACTGGGTAGGATTCACGTGGAACATGGGTTATTTCCGTTGGTCAACATATGCCAATTCCGGTATTCAGAGTGCATATTTGAAATGCGCTTTATCAATCGCAAGTTCTGATGTTTACACAAGTACGTTTTTGAAGTAGTACCAACATTCCTATTACACTTTTTTGAGGAATTTGGATCGTGATTGTGCTGTAACCTAGGCCCGAAAGTTTGGATTGTAATATGTCCCTGCGTTACAGCTTATCCAGCAGTACACTGGTTGCCGAACCAGGATCTATCATAATTAGAATTATAATTTAACGGAAAAAGAGCCCCTTCCATTGGTGGAACGCAAAAGATATTTCAATGGTACTGAGCCCAAATGTTACCTAAATGCGTGCGCTGATGCGAACCGCCGTAGGATGCTTCTCAACCTATTTTCTTGCCTACCTTCTTTCATCTACTAATTTTAGTCTTTTTTTAAGCCTGCGCTGAGTTCATGCAGCACAACGGATCGTTGCAACGAGATCAGTAACGACTTATGGCTTGGTAAATCTAAGCCGAATACATACTCGAATAAAATGATTCAGGGATTGATTAGATTGGTTAGGAAGACTTTAACTGGACTTATCCCCATGGTTTGAATTAACAATGACACTACGTTCTAATTTAATCAATGGAAGTATCCTGTCGTCCTTGACTACTGGAAACAATTTAAAGTGTTATTGTGGGCATTTCGACTAGATCACCCTTGGTGATCCAAGGCCAAAAAATTCAAACATCCTCCTCAGTGAACACAACAACTTGGCTCAATCGCTCTCGCGTGAGTCGAGTGGCGTCGCGAACTCAAGTTGGTGCTGCTCATGCGCGATTTCTGCACCCCAACAATGGCAGAACTCCCCTTTCAACCCTCCCCGAACATGCTCTCACAACCACCCCCTACGAGGCAGTAACAAGATTGGCTGCTAAATCGTGAGTTTTTCTCCTTAACTCTAGAAAGTGGGTCGAGAAAATTGTTATCAATGTTGATTAACTGAATGAATGCCTTCTTGAAGGAAGAAACCCCTGTATTCGGTTCGCCAATGGGGAAGTCAAGTGGTCAAGGCTCCCGAGAATCAAGTCATGACTCGATCTCCCCAGTGTGCCGTCTACATGGGAAGCAGGACTGCAAAGTCACACGACGGAATGATGAGTAAAGAGGCGCTGACACAAGCACTGGTGGAAATTATTCTTAATGAAGTACTAGGAGCACTGGATAATGGAATGTCTGCCTCAGGTACCGTGTCAATAACTTTCTTCGATTGCATTGTAAGATCTAGAGTGACTTATTCTACTTCGTGTTGTTTGTATTGGTAGAGAAACTGAAGGACTCTTTCGCTGTTACCGCCAAATTGTCGAAAAGCCTTGTAACTCTTAATTCGAAGGAATTGGAAAACGAGGGAGGATCACGTCGGGCGATGTCTCCAAATCCACCGTCCTCAACAAAGACACCGTCACCTTCACGGTTGCAAGATCGGTGGGTACAATATTCATTGACAGAAGTGCAAACAAGTGAATCCTGACGCTTCTTCGAAAAAAATCGCCCCTTGATATACTCTTGTCCTATGATCAATTGTCTATTGATACTTCCAGGGAAGTAGCCTCATTAATAAAGATAGCAGATCATGAAACAAGAGTTAATCAACGAGTAATTATTCTTCTAGTGAAGCATCATGATTGCTTGCTTGTGTACAACTATCAATAGGCACTTGAAAAAAATCTGTAAATTGAATTTACACCTGAAATAGTTGGTTCTTTAATGTAAAACTTGTATTGTTTGCTTCCAGAAAGAGTCCGGAAAGTTCCAAAAATTTTGTACTCGCCGGAAAGTCTTTCACTCTCACGACTGATTTCAGCAACTTCGCCATCGCAGCCTCCACATCCTCCATCTCCACAACGGAGAGTCGCAATACCAAGTTTTCCATCACCTGGCCCATTCGACCCGACTACAAGAGCTCCCTAAAATGCCTTTTGGACCCAATTCGGACTTCGCCCACCATTTACGGACGCTCCAACACTCCTAGTGGGCGGAATAGATTACAAACTGGCTCCACTCTTCCACCGATCATGATAAATAGGCCGAACCTTCAATTGATGTCGCGCCATTTCAGACGGCCAGGCAATGATGCCTCTCGATTGCCCTCAATTTTTCCCACTGCAGTAAATTATCCCGATGGAGAGGACAGTGAGACGAATTACCACTGCTCCGCGAAAGTATCGCTTCATGGGGGAAGCAACCAGACTGCTGTTTTGGGGCACTTGTCTCACTTGCGTGAGCCACTGAACAGTGAAAGACTGTCACAACATCAGATGGATGTTCGACAAAATCACTCGTGTGCGACCAAGGTGAGTTCTTAATGGTGGAAAGGTTTGGCATCTTCAACACTTTGGTAGCTAGGCGAGTGTTGCGCAATTGCTGCTACAACGTAAAAACAACAAAGATTGTGGATGTGTCTGCTTCAGGTTACCTCTTACCCACCGAAAGCGACGCAAATCGAGTACTCAGTGGAGGTTTCAGCCCAAAGACATCAACCTTCAGATCCCATTTAGTAAGTTAATGTATTTTTGCGTGACTATCATTTGGAATTCTGTTGCCTAATCAACAATTTCAAAAACATTGCAATTTTCTTTTCACTAGAGGAGGAACCCATAATCTACCTTCCTCCCTGCATAGCTTCAGTTCTTCTAGAATAAAGGCGTTAGCAAAATCAAAATAATTCACTTAGGTGTCAAGCAGAATTAGACTTTGTTCGACTAATGACTCGCCTATGGCGCAAAATATGATGACCAGCCATGCATTATCACCTCTGCATGTGCGCGGATGTGTGGAATTAATTTTGCATGCATCGAGGACGAATTATTCCCGAGGGGCGTGACAACCGTTCTGTAGTTTCTGAAGTGCACTTTAGATACGAGTATATCCCTTGCAATGGCCTAATTATCCCTTACTAATACTTCCCACTTGCTATTTTTCGGTTTTTAGACTGAAGCCAGTTTGTGGATGGATAATGACTCCCTCATCTGCGATATATAATTACCTGTCACTTTACCCAACTCCGTTGTCGATTGGCGTAAAAAGGAGGACAGATAGCGTGATCTTATCTTTATTTAAATGTAAATAAACCACAAAATTGAAGAATCCGAGGGATAACTTCAAACATTTGTGCTTTTGCCATCGCCCTTCAACAGTAACTTAAGTGCAACCCTTATCTCAGATTCAAGTTGATCCAGTTTGGCGCTCTTTTTCATCAGTGCAAGAGAGAATGTTAAGGAAATATCAATCCACAGAAAGTATGAAATCAAATTCCCTGAAAATGTGCAACAATGGACAAAAAGTCACCATTCTTTTGGATACTTGGGGGCACGCTCCTAAGATTGTCACTACTAGCAAAGGTTTTTACCGGAATCGGATTATTTTTAATTGCTTATGTGTTTCACAGAATAGGAGACATCACCATCCCTGAAAATGTTAAACCGATGAAAAAGTGGTTCAAATGCGGAGCAAGCGACGTGGCGCATGGTTCAGTAACACCTGATGCTTGGAAAAGGAATCAACGGAAGCGCGTCAAAGTCACACAAGAGGTATAAAACTCAACATTTGGTAATACTTATTCTGCCACCCAAAAAGATAATAAGAACGTCTAAAAATTAGTAAATTGGGTCTAGAACCGCCAGGCTCTCCTGTTCGCAAAAATCACTGATGAATTACAAAGTGTAAAACAACCACTTTAGGGGTGATGCCATAAAAATTATGACTATCTCCGTGAATGGATACGGAAACAAAATTATTGAAACCGTAACCAAGCATGCAAAGGGTGACCATGCGTCGAAACCGAAAATGAACATGCTCCAACATCAATAAATAAAAGGATATAATCATTTTTGAATGAAAATTCAGTAACTTTTATCAAATGTTGTATCTCTGAGATCTTTTTATCAAGCTAAAATCATGAATACCGAGCTAAAATGCTAAGTAACCTCAGCTGACGTTGCGTCGAGTTTATCAAGTTCGAATTGGACTGTGTCATGCATTCCTGAAACGAGAAACGGAAAAAGCTGGTTTGTGAAAAAGAACTAGGGAAATTAGTAGCTATATTATGCTAACGATGATTTCCCTCAAATCCAACTAAAACGTAGATTCAGCTAAATTGTGAAAAAAATTTCCAGGTAATTGCAAAACTTAGGAATAGGTCGAGGCAATAGCAGCCAAAAGGATGCACAAATGAGAAGACCACAGTTCAGAATGTATTGCGAATTGAGCAGAAGTTTAAAAAGGTTCCCCAAAGAATCAGGAATAGGAATTGAAACAAAAGGAATTAATGGGAGAGAAACAAATGACAACATCAGAAACAGGACAGATATTTTACCAGAGGACAGTGATTACATAAAGAGAAAACCGCGTATAAAAGTTTTTGTTGAAACTTTACAATAAAATTTTGTGTGACATTAAAGACACACAGACTGGAATTGATCAAAATAGCTCGAAAATTGACAAAAATATGGAGGGGAACAGCGGCAACTTGTCCACGATATCTCAGTGCTGAATTTTAAAACTATTTCTGATTTTATTCTAACCTTCAGGTAACGGGAAAGCCGTAGAGGAAAATGAGTCGACCATTGCTAGCAAACTACCACCTAAAATTATTGTTAATATAAATCTTATTCGTATTGATTTTGAAAAAAAAACGGGAAAACTACCTTGATAATCAGTTGCAAACTAATAATTTTAAGTAACTTAATTTTTGCATGTAAAACAGCGGAACGTCATGCATTTTTATGATGCGTGCGCATTTTTAAATAAAGTCACCCAAGTTGCGCATGCGTTGACCGAAGATGCGCTTAGCTCTCTGGAATTTGAGGGGTTTTAATGAATTAATTAGGTCCGTGTAGCCCAAAAATCTGCATAAGGTGCTTTTCTGCATGTTCACTTCGGTCAATTAATAACCCAGTAAATTAATGGAGCCTTAAGTATTTCATTCAAATGCTGAGATACCCTAATTCTTCTTCATGAGTCAAGAAACTCTCGAGTTTTTCGAAACTGATAAAATGGCGGAGTATCAGGCAATTACACTGGTGACTTGCAGAAGGCCTGGAAAGCTACTAGCATGACACGAAGCCCATGCCGTGCACACAACAGGGATTTTATCTAGGGGGTGGTTAGACGAATATTTAAGCAAATTACTAAATTTATTTATAGTTCCTCTCCTCTTTGAGGCTTTTAGTGGGCCTCCCTCTTCGATCACTTCAACTAACCAAAAACGTCAGTAGCTGTATTTCCTTGGATGTTAGAAGGCATTTGATCCTAAAGTTACCGATGCATCATGGAGTTTATACAGTTTGTGGAGTTTCAATTTACCCATGGACCGTATTATAAAGTAGTAACGTACTAGATTCATACTCATAAAGATTGAACAATGGTCACCAACTAGGGCATCGCCAATGTCAGTCTCTAGTCTTAATAAGATTGCACTAAAAGTGGAGCCATTTGCTGAATGGTGAGGTTTGCAAGAGTCTGATGAGACCAGTATACCACATTGTTTCTTCTGTGCCGTTTTATATGTTTCAGTGCTACCCCTTCCATCTATCTAGGCCTTATTAAACAAACAGAGAGGTGAAGCAGATGTCGTTTGTCCAAGTTTCGTACCTCCTCTCACAGATAAAATAGAGAGCTCCATAATGAAATGTTACAAATTCTTTAGTTCTGCATCGATTTGTTTATTAACAGCATTCTTGAGGAACACGGAACCATGTAATTGCTAATGGCAACGTTTTTGTTTAAAACAGCCACAATTTTATCCATTCAAATGGCACCCCTTATTTCGTGGCATTGAGATTTAGCATTTAGCCATCATCGTCCTTAGTCTTTGTAGAAACTGCAATAGGCAAAGTGGTAGGAAAGATCTTTAACTAATGACATGCAGTCATACAGTAGTGTAATACGATAGTGATTTATCCCTCGGCATTGATGAGGCGCGACTTGTACTTTGAATTAGCCCCCTTGTACCTCGCTGAGTGGGCTGGCCTTTTGGGCCATGCCAATAGTCCATACACCTTCTCTGCGCTGAATATATATTTTCCTCGAGTATTTTGTCTTCTCTCGTCTTCAGGGAGTCCCGGGACGCTACAGTAGCATGATTCAGAGACCATAACGCAGAAGGGAAAATCAGCCTGCGGAGATGGAAGTAACCGAGTGCTCAAATCCCTTTTAAACCCAGACATTAATTCACCGCAGTGTTGTCAAAGAATAAGGCTGGTTTTGGGTGTTTTATTAGAATTTGAACCTTTCGGCCTTAGCAGAAAGAATAGTTCAAATGAACATTAATTGCGGAAGTAAAAAATTCATCAGACCGCAATAAATTTCAAGAAATTTTTTAATGTAAAAGCCATTGGACTCCAAAAGAGATCCTAAGCCGCAGAAAACTTATACTGCTTCAAAAAAAAGAAATGCTAAATTACTACATGTTTTCATATTCATTACGTGTTTAATATGCCCCATTTGCAGTAAAAGTCTTCCTTTTTTAACCCGTCAAATATAAACTAACTATAATTCTTAGCTAAGGGGGTCGAACTTTTGGTTGTTGTCTGTTTAATTTTATTCCTCTTTCGAATAAATGGCGCTTCTTTAACCTTGAAGGCTCTAGGTCGGCACACAGCCCGCGCACCAAGGCTGCACTGTTGGCTACTTGGTCTCTGTCTAAATGTGAGTGTCAGTGGAAGGGGTCTGCATTTTAAGTTCATGGCTTCGCCTAATATACGTGGTTGCAGCTGAACTACTAAGTAGTCACCTGCAGTTGCTCCCTAATACCTGTCTAAGTATTGTTCCATAAGTGGTATTTATAAAATAAACCTCTTTTACTTTTTCCCATGTGAGCATTTTTGCTTATTTAAGATGATTTGATTGTTTTACCAGATTTTTTGCTGATTTGCAAACGCTAGATGTCTATTTGCGTCATTTGACCCAACGAATCTGCTTCATTTCTTGCCTTCCACTAATCTCTCCGTTGTTCTTTTCATCCGACTTGATTTTTCGTTACGTTCACGTCGCATAAGTAAAGCCTTGCGATGAAAGCGCTATAGCCCTCTTAGTTTTGTCTCGATTCATACTGGCACCTTGTCGTAATCGTTGTTAATTTTTACCCTTCTCATGTGAAATCTACTTCATTAAATTAGGTCATTTACCCACGCTTTATGGTGCTAATTTTGACGATCTCAACATGACAGGTTTGACTTTCCTGTTCCCTGTTACTTGAAACGTCTGGCTAGTTTTTATTGAGACAGAGATACCGTGTCCTAATTCGATGTTTTATTTGCTATGGTCTCCGATATTTTTCTTTGTCATCGTATCAGTATAGTAGATCAATCATTGCTTCAACGCCGTGGATTATCCAATGCACATAAATTCCATTTTTATAATTGGTTTTTAGTGCTCATAGGAGTTGTTCCCTCGTATCGCACTTCATTTTCTTATGTTCTTCGACCACTCACTGGTTTGTATGTGATAAAAATGCAGTTAGATTTAGCTTATGTTTTTTACTTTACTTGGTCCTTATTCAAGCACTTTGCATAAATGATTGCATTGTACCATCTGCCTGACCCTCTATATTAATTCTTTGCATGAGGCGTACTACTGTTTAAATAATTTAAATTGACTAATTTATGGTACTTGTACCATCTGCTGTTAGCATTTTATTCACCTCAAAACAATGTCACTTCCTCTCAACACCTCACTTTCTCGACCTTCGTGTAAAGACGCATCCCCAAAAATCACCTCGAGTCTACATTTTAGCAACGGGGTTTGTGGACACATTCGATTCTCACTGACCCTTTCCTATCATTGGTTTTTTTACGAAATTTGCCGCTGCGAATTCCACGAAAATATCGTTTGGTTTGACTTTGCGATTTGATGTCGTTTACCATGCTTCCATATGCTTCTGTATATAATTTAATGTGTTTTTAGAAAAATCATCAACTCTTTTTTATGCCTTACGAATTTGTGATCCCAGCACCCGATTGATAGAACACACTTAGTTTTGCACCCAACGTTGCGTAATACTACACGATGCAAATGCTTCATTCCCTAGTTGCATTTTTTCTTTGCTCTTTGCAGTATCAATTGTAAGATAATACTTAAGCCCGCATGGTGAACTCCGTTACCCGTCTACCTTCCTAATCATTGTTTGATTTTAATTTGCTCGTTCGCTGAAATATTTAATTGTTGAGTTAAATACACTAGAATTGGTTGAGCTAGTAAATATGGAAGTATTGAGACTTTTATGAACCTACTCTAAGTAGTCACGACTGAGCGTATCCGCTTCATGATTACGAGGGATACGGTCTCGGGACATAAGACTTGTTGCTGATTTTTAGCACGCAAATGTACGCACTTTTTTCATTTTAGTCTGAAAGGCCATTTGCAGAACATTTTTGTTATTCATGAAAGCAGTTCTTTTCATTTTTAATAAATGTTTGTTATACATTTTTATAGCATAGGCTGAGCTGCATTGTTTAAGCACGAGTTCTCAGGGATGTTCTTTTTTTCTGAGGACTTGCTGGCTATGCAATATATGTTTAGTTTTAAAATGTTCGCCTGCGAGGTCATTTTGTTTGCTAGGCGGCGTTGACCTGAGGGGATAATTAAAGTTATTAATTTCTATCTGCCAAAATGTGCTGTTTTACAAATGTTGACAATTCTCCCCCTTCGACTGCATCACTTTTAATTCACCTCTCATTTAGTTACCTTGCTAACTGTACTTCTGGCTAACATATCTTGTCTATAGCAGAATCGAGCTGTAGTGCTAGGAGGCAGGATATTAGTTATGCAGCGCCTAGTTTCGACACCGTGTTTGTGTGTTGTAGCTGCGTAAAAGTTTTATGAGCTACTATCCTACCTTTTTATTAGTCCACACAAAGGACGGATTAGCCTCCACTACGGTTATGCAAATTGTTTCCAATCAAAATTTTTATTATGTAGATGTGCGTTTATGGCCTGCTGACCTATCTGAAAGTGACCATTTAGGTATGAACGTCTCATCACAGGTGGACGATGTGTTCTAACTTCTGAATGCATTGGGCATTAAATGTTAATTGCTTTGCAAGTGAATAACCACTTGTGTCTTTTAGGGAATTAGGATGAGTTCTTTTTTATTTGTTTAATTATTTATAAAGGTCAGTGGTAATGAAGCGCTGTAAATACTTTAATTCATGTGTGGACAATTCTTTAAGTACTTACTCTGGGCAGCTAGAAGGCCTCAAGGCGCTGTCACATTATTATTGGGGGCGATCAATTAGGCGGCTATCCGCTTTTGTCACATTAAGTATCCAGTTGCAATCCATTCTTAGAAGAAGGGGGATTTCTTCCGCTCCTGCGATGTGCTTGAACTACGCACCAGCGGAAACGTTTCTTGGCTTTTTATTTCAGTGTAGATTGGCGCTGATCTGACACACTTGTTGGTTTCACTGACGGGCGTGAGCGGGAGTTTGTCGCTTGGGTCATGCAGCTCCCATGGGACTGATTCTCATTGGGTTTTTATAAAATAGCCAGATAGCAGAATATTTAAATGTCAAAAATGTACTAGCAAGTCAATTTGTTAAGCTTGGTACGCTGTTTTTTAACGAACCCCATAACTTAGTCGCAAGCATTTAATTTCCACGAATACTGAGCACTTTCCTATTAGATGTCATTGGACGTTTATTTAAAGCGTCGGGAGATGCGCTGGCCGGTTTTTCCTATTGCCGTAACAAGTTATAACCAACTTCATCCTACTTAATCCGGGTGAATTTTCTAAAATATCTGTTTTAAGTGCCAAACAGGCGGTCGTTTATCATGAACGTGTGCTGTCACAAACAATTCGAGGTTAAATTTGTAAGAGGCCTTTGAGACCTGGGATGTGATTATTGGTTTCCGTCGTAGGATGGAGATTATTCCCGTCTGTCAAAATTTTATGGTATTATTGGCTTATCCCTCTTCCAGGCGACTGCGGTCACCGTTCCATAGGCTATCCGGAGCCTAGTTCCTTAGCTGTTCCAAAAAACAGTGCAAATCAAGCCACCTTAACAGCGCAAACATCGGGTTTTTGGAAAAAAAAGATCTGTTTTCAACAATTGACCTTCAAGATAGCCTTTGTATCATGTCGGTTGCTGACCTATTGAAGAAGATCTTTTTGAATGTAATTACGTCAGGAAACGTATTTTAATACGACGCAGGAGGAATAAAATGCATCCTTTCATTAGAATTATCGGTGCATGTTTTCAATTCCCTAGATAAATAATTCATCGGACCTTATTACGTATATTTTGGTAGAATGAGGGGAAGATGGAAGGAATCGTATCTCCTTAAATCACCATCCTTCTGGTCCACTGAGGGCAGAAAATATTGTTGCGTTTTGCCTTTCGACCGTCATTCTCTTAATCTCACTCGTGTTTCTGTCTCATAAAACAGATTCTCTAATCGCTATTTTGCATAAGCGAACAGGCACTTGATTACTCTGTTTCACTAATTTCGAGGCACTTTTGAACTTTGCACCACCTAGTCAGTTGCCACGTACTCGCTTATCAGCAGCTTCTAAGCCTGATCAATCTACATCCTTTGCTTTTACACCTACATCCAACATACTGTACTTGAACATAACAATGCATTACTGTATGTGCCCTGGAGTTGCAAACGAAATGAGATTGTGTGGGAATTTTAGGAACTCCGATCCGACAGGCGATCAGCGGCAGCCGCAACAGCCACCAGCGGCTGAGAAAAAACTCGAAAAAACGATAAACAAGCGGCTTCAGCGGACTCAGGCACAGGTCAATGAGGTCGTAGACATTATGCGGGTGAACATTGAGAAGGTCCTTGAACGCGATAAAAATCTGTCACAACTAGATGATCGCGCAGGTAAGACAGTAAATGCCCCTTTTGTCCCAATATTTACAGTCGCTCCTCAGTGGAGGGGTGAAGTACCCTTCAATTAACCACTTTCTTTTTAAATGTATCGATAGGCTCTTTGCTAAAGGGAAGAGGTAGGCGTTTTGTCTTTCAAACCCTACGATGCCACTTTCATTATTTGATACTTAATACGTTCACACTGGAGACATACAATTTTATGCGACCGTCAAAATTCAGTGAACGTTTACTTCTGACTTGAGCGATATATGGTGTCAGCATCTGATGTATTCCTGTCACTACTCCGGTAACAAGTAAAACCCCTTCCATCGTTGTTCTTATCTGTTAGTATCATCTTTTGAAAGCGACCACCGAGGCTATACCAGGTTGTGACGTTTCAATTCATTTAGAAAGTTTCCTTAAAATGGCGTCCCAGAAACCTGTATTATTACCCTAAAATCGTTACGGCACTATGTAACTCCCGAATCTATTTCATTCACAATCTCGAATAATTTTAAAGTGATGTATGCATGATTAACTAGAATTTTTACAAGCCTTGTCAAAGTACACGATCGTCGTCTTTCATGATGATGCATTTTTCGGTAGCTCGAATGCAGCGTTAACTACCTTACCGAAGTGTGTAACTGCAGTGTGTCTGGACGCGTAGCCAGAATTTATTTCAGCTGTAGCCTTTGAAACTCCTTTTGATCGTTCCGTCCATTGTTGGCAAACAAGGCAAGAACCGTGCCGTCAGCAGTGAAAACGTAGAAACGAGTGTTCCTTGATGCGAATAAATACATATTTCATCAGATTGGAGATCAAGCTCACTACTTAGGGCTCTGCTCTACTACAAGTATGTGCATTTTCCGGCACTCATCCAGCATTACTAAAGGGTAATTTTTCACTTCACTTTTCTTCACCATAGCTGGACGTTTTGATCAGTTCTAATGGTGTTTAGAATACATTGCGAACCTATACGTTAACATGCCTAACGATGCACTAGTTCTCGTGCCGCGTCTTTCCCTTCCTCCACCCTACCCGCGCAGTCGTTTACCCCATCAGTAAGTTGATGATTCCACTATGGCCTCTGTCATAAATAAATCACGAGGCAGGAGCATTCAATTGATCCCTTTATTCAGGAAGATACATTGTCCTGCTTTGTTTTGCATTCATTCATTCAGAGCTGAAACTGACAAGCCATCACGGTTTGGGGATTTAGTTTTCGGTTATTCTTGCACACCTGCCTACCTCCTAGGACGCCTGCGCAGTTCTGTTTCATCTAAAACTGTTTCCTGGTCGACAGTGCTCACCAGATTTCACCACCAGATTTCCGCTTGATTATTTAATACCTCGCGATTTCGGGAACCAAAGTTCTTCTAATAATTGGTTGTAATCAGGGGAGCACGAGACTATTTAGCTTCTGGCTCTTCCCATTAGGGTTATTTTGATGTATGGGTGAATTTTTCGCTATTCCGGGTCCTGTGTGGGAACCTACTTTCAGAGTCTGATTGGCGCGTCGATTTTCTCACCTTAACCTGCATATTGCATGGAAGTGGAATATTTGATTGAAAGGAGGTGAATTAGGTTGGAAAGAAAAAGTCATATGTGAACGATTGGTGGCATATGAGAGCCGAACACCTGAGTGGCTCTGGTGGCCGACTTTTCCCCGACACCTTGATAGGTAGCGTGTTAATTTATTATCCCAGCCGTGAGACGAGGTCAACTTTGTGGACACTAACTGATGAGCACAATTGGATTTTTCTGCCTTCTATTTTGCAGATGCACTCCAGGCTGGGGCGTCTCAATTCGAGGCGAGTGCTGGGAAGTTGAAAAGGAAGTTTTGGTGGAGAAATTGCAAGGTAAGTTAATTGGTAATCACTGATCTACTTTTTTAAGCCGTTGGTAATTGAAAGCGTTTTTTTCACTTCGTGTCTTGCCTGGGTCAGATAATTTAACGCAATCTTGTAGCTTAGCTGCTTTTAGGGAAACATTCGTATATTTAATGAATGCTCGTTATATTAGTACCCTATGGCTTCCTTTGCCAACATCCTGTGATCGAATTTCAGCTTTTAATGGTACTTTGTGGTCTCCTGGCTGTAATTGCCATCGTTATCATCGGTAATCTGCGTCAAATGTTGTTGTTTCCGAGATTTGTGCATAGGCTTCTAGACAATAACACCTTATTTCGAAAAAAAAACAGCATGATAAGCGTCCATGCTCTCACTTCTCTCTACTCAAAACAAATAAAGGAACCTCCTAGTAATGTAGGGAAGGCCTTTGCACCAACCTCGAAATCCCCGTCGTGTTTGATGTTGTAGATTTTTGCTTGTTGTCTGTTTTCTAAATCCCCGACAGACTATTTTCTGACTCATTGTTTTTTAGCACTTATGGATTGTCAAAAAACTAGATTCTAGTTTGTTTTTTTTACGACGCCACTTTCAAATACCTCCTATCTGGACATGAATTGTTAGTTTTTGAAATAATGACTTGTGAAATCCTCTTTTTTCTTAAGGGACCCCCGTTGACTTCATTTTTAGGGGTGTTAATTTCACTCGCTCAAATGCCAGAACGAATGATACGAGGGTCACTCTAGGAATTCCATTTTTCTGCATCGGAACACGTAATATGCTGCTCTCATGAGTGTATCACATCGTGCTTATTGGTCGTCAAACGCTCCTTATTTGATCACGATACCCATTTGTTGTAGCTTGTTGTGGGAGTAGCTTTTTCAACAGGATTCGGTGTCGTCCTTATTACATAAAGTTATTTTTCCCTCCTTTAATTCCGTATTGTAACCCCTCCCCCTCTGTCTAGATTAGCTTAATATATTCCTTTAATGACCCATTCATTTTTACTCTTTCAGTATCTCTTACTTCAGAAAAGCGGTAAGCTAACCTAGCAAATTATATGAGTTGTCCTCTCCTCTCTTCCACACGGCTAATTTTATTCGATTTGATACGGTCTTACAATTGGACGAGGCCTATTTTGAGGTTCAGTATGGGCCACGAGCGAGAGGCTGATGACATTTCACAGTTACTCTTAATGTTCTCAAAATAGACGTCGGTTTTTCATTGTCAATCTGACTTAAAATCTCGCCTCTTAAGTATGAGCAAACAATGTCTTGTCCCATTGTCCACAATCCCCCGAAGTTAAATGTAGTATTTTTCTGCGGTTCTCTTCACTTTCGAATCCCATTCATTTTCTTTTAATTTTTAGGGCTGGTAACAGTGTGAATGCAAGTAACGCACTAACCGCCAACACATCATTCAGTCTTTCGCCGGATCTGCCACAGTTAGAGGCTCAAGCACACCCACCCCCAGCCTCCATTGGCTCCCGTTTCAACTGGATTTTTCCACATGGTAAGGAGGAGAATCCCTCGACGCTTCAACAGCCTTCCTCTGCACAGAGCGGCGATAGCTCCGAGAACATCGCGTCGTTGTCGAAAGCGCAGCCTGAGGCAGAGGCAGTAGAAGAAGAGAGTAGAGCGGGTTCACTGGATCAAGGCGTCTGATGCTAGAGTGTCTGATCGCGCCTCTATTCTTTCGTCATTTGTCCATTGAACCATGCTGCGTCGACCAAGGAGACATGTATCCTCTCCCCTTTCTTTATCTTCTATTTCTGTCTGTTTGTTGTTTGTTGGTTGGTTTGTATTCTCGATTTTACAGTCACAAAAAGAGTCCCCTATCTACCGCCTCTGCCATTGTTGTGCCCTATTTTATCAACAGTATGGACCGTCAATGTTTTTGATTATATCCATCATGGCCATATTAGCCCATGTATGTACGTATGTAAGTAAGTGAGTATTATTGACGTGTTGTTTTATTATCGAGCAGCACGCAGTCCTTGTCCGTGTTTCCACTCTTCTACATTCTCCCGCTCCCTTCCTCCTCCCTTACCTGCGTTCTTGAATGTTCTCCAAGAGCTTTACCACCACCACCACCACTAATCCTCTTCGGGTCGTCCATTTTGCAAAGTTAAAAATGAAACGAGTCAGTTCTGTTTTGTAAAGCCGTGTATGTGCGTGGGTGCGTGCCACGACCTCTGGAAAACTCCTGGGCTATGTCGAACGCTCCCATCCGCCTTTGTGGCCAATTTCAGCGTCCGATAAATCCCATTAGCTTAGAGGAGATTAAAGGTTTGGCGAAGAGAATTAGGTTAGGAAGAGGGGAGGAGAATGCCTCCTGCCTTGTGTGTCCTCACAGATCGTTCCGGCTATGTTGCTCCCTGGGGTATGCGACCGGAAGGGATCCTGAGTTGTTGAGTCACCAGGAGCTACTCGTAGTTTTCCATTAACTAAACCCCAAGTTGGGAAATTATCTTAATTAACTTCTTACTGGAGGATGCCTGTTTGTGTCAAGTTCCTGCAAACTTTGCTTCTGCAATTCTACAGAAGAAATCGTTACGTAGAAACGGTTTAGGTCATGGTCAAACCCCAAACTTTTATGAGCTCCTTAAGTTTCAGCATAAAGTCGCTTTTATTCATGCCCAAATTTATCCAAGAACGGATGCACTGTGTTTGGAAGACCTTTCAATGCTGCCCATTGAATTATTCTTTAAATTAGGCGAGTCTGAAAATGCGGCTCATTATGTTCGGTCCTCATTTCAGTTGATTCTCGCTGCCAGCATTACGCATGCGATGCCTCGATTTTCTCATCTGAAGTGTGGTCTGCCTCTCGCAGCAGCCGTCACAGCACAGTCGGTGCTGCAGAATAAATCCACATACCAGCCGTGCCAGTCATCAAATTCCCATTAAATTGAGAAGATGCCTGGTCACAGCGTCACTGGTCCCTCTTGTCAATTTCACTGGATCTGGGGTTTTGTCCTATGTGAGGTACAAGGGAAGGTGTTGGTCATCATGCATGCCCATCGCTAATTGTAGGAAACACTAGCCTAAAATCAAAGTCATGCAACAAGGAATGGAGTTTAACATGGTTTCGCCTCCATTCCTCTGTCACTTTGTTTTGACGTCAGCGCTGCCCAGCCGTATCTGTATGAGTCCTATCCAGCTGCTAGGGAGATGGAGGCGCTATCGCGTGTTCTCCCAGTTGAAATCTTTATGCAGGTACGGTAAGCAGCTCGGCAACAAAACTTTTCCAAGCAGTTTACAGCCAGTGCCGATTCAGTTGTTGATAGCTTTCCTGCAGGCCACGGGATTGGGGTAGTTACCGAAGAGAGGCGTCATTTTCAGCCCTTCTGATAGGAATCGCCACAGATTCTCCTATCTGTAGCGTATCCTTCTTCTGTCACGTTAAGGGTTGACTTCCAATAATAGGAATCAAGGTAGTTTTCCTTCAAAATCGGATTCGCTTTCTGCTGCCACCAGTGTAGCGACCCGAGACTTTCCTGAAGATGGAATAAGGCAATACTAGGTTAGAAAATACATTTCTGATATATGGGAGGGCTGGGGGCTACTGGCACGGCGCAGAGATCAGCCCACCCGGCAGAGGCACAACGGTCAAGCCCTAAGTGGTCCGTTACCAACAGTGAGAGTTAAACAAACAGCCAGTGTATTACAGTAGGGTATTCTTAGTCTGAAGATAGCAAAATACAGTTTGTTAGCAGCTAAACAGATAAAGCATTGGAGTGAGTGTGGTGGTAGTTGTTCCTCTAAGACTGGTAATAAGTATGGCAACCGACTATTTTGAAAACGATGAAGTCAATTTGAAATGGTAGAATTTACTGCAGCATGGTAAACACGACTCATTCAATGTGCGGCATATTCCCTTCAAACAAGCCACCAAGCAAGTAGGCCAACAATTGGCCCGAATTTATGAGGTTGAGTTTATTGATGGTACTCCTAAAAGTCCCTTCTGTTTTCAGTTACCAGTTGAATTAGTTGTTTCAATGACGTCCTTGTACAAAGAAGTTAGTGGCGTGCCTTGAAAAGTGTGGAGTCTATTAGAAGTCCGGATCGTGGTTGTTTTTATTCATCCAACGTCAGTAATCGTGACTTAGAATTTCGCTTGTGTATGCCTAGTTATCTGTAGTTCAATTCTTGTACCGGAGTGTTTTAAAAGACGTAGCGCTTACTTTGTGCCACGAACGCATGCAGAGCTTGAACAGAAGTTAGGATTTGGATCCTAGTTGTCCTTGGATGGGAATAGGGACCTCTAAAATTGAATCACAAGTAAGGATCATCGAAATCTCTTAGAGAGAATAAAAACAAGTTGTCCATAATTTGGTTGTTTACTTGTAAACTAGCTGGTTTTATGTACAGTCGTATCTTTAGGTAAACGGTGCCGCTGATATGATTTGCGATGGTGCATTCCGCTAAGGCGCTCAAGGGTTAACCTTCCGGTGGTTTTGATACTCGCAACTTAAACTAGGTTTTTTCCGTGCATCCCGAAAGCACAAATCTCGTGACCACCGTCCTCGCATAGCCCAACTTACTGCTGGAAATTAGGATATATAGGTTTCTGTACTCAACTACTACGTTCCCGAAGTGCAAAACTGTTCACCACTGCCGTCACATATGTGTGACACCCCGATTTTATAACCAAGATTAATTGTGATCTGTTTCATGCTAGAGCAATGCAACACCTGGTCTGTGATGGTCGAGTTTCCTCTGTGGTCCTATTAGTAAAAGTGTTGAAGGACCTAATATTTACCCGTTATTAGCGACTATTACTGTTATTCACTCCAACGCTTTTCCCCTCCTATAAGAAATTAAAGGTAAGGATACATTCGAAGATAATTTTGATTATTAGTTTGCTTGTCTTCATTTTTAAGAAAGCATACGCCCTAACTGATAGAAATTGGCACTCTTGAAACAGGAATTAATTGGGGACTGCAATACAAATTTTAGTGGGGTGCGGCTTACCCGGCATGTGCCTACGTCACCCTTGAATTTTGGTAACTGGGACCATCGTCTGTCTAAGAGTTGCATTAGACTGCAACTATAATATTCTGAATGCAAAAGGTGTTTACTGAAGCATACTTTTATCCAAGCGACCTTTGGCCTTAAATTTTAAGCGCGTTTTAATTCTGGAAGATGTTTTAACCATGACCTCAGAAGATGTTTCCAGTACATATGCTGGAAGGAAATCTAGTTCTCTTTCCTCAACAGATTAGAACTTATGTAAGAGGCACATATGGGATATAATTTCGAGGGGCAATTAATTTTACCAGGGCAGCGTTTTGCCATACGCAAACTGTAGACGATCTTGGAATAATTCGCGCCTTTGTTTCCAGCTTAATAAGAAGCGTTTTAATGCCTCGCAAGAGATTACATTCTTCTGAATCTACTCCGTTTTGAAGGCACCACGCTTTGTAGCCGCATTTTTTTGAAGAATAAAACAGGATGGCTACTTTTTTTAGATGAGGCCAAAATTACCGAGAGCCAACCCTCGACATAGATCCTTGGGTGTGCCAAACAGTTGCTTAAGAGGAATTTAGTCAGTTTATCTAGGACAAAACAAATGCTAACGGGCCACAAAAAAATGCCGCTATTTCAGTTAATTGCAAATAATCAGGCAGCTGGGTGACGGTCGGTTTTTTGTTCAACGTTCCCTTACTGCTCTTTGATACCTAAAAGCTACACAGTTTTCAGCATAACTCATCATGCCATGAGAACTACATGATTTTATCCAGAAGCATAACTTCAAAGCATAAGCAGTTTGTTCCGATGCCTTCAATGGTTAAAAACGCCTCTTACCGCGTTTTTGACATCTACACACTGGATATAATGGATTACCAAAGGTACTTACTACGTACGAGGCTTGGTTAAAACCTTTAAACAGTAATATCTTGCATTTGATTTGGCATTAACACATTTCTCACTCAGATAAGTCCATGATTTATACCGTTTGGTAGGCATCTTATTTGTAGGGTGCAAAAACCTTATTTTACGTGCTAATCTGGTCACTAATTTAACCAATGACAATGAAATCGCAGAGGCATGAAGAAAAAGGAAGTTAACAATCTATCAAAATACTTAAAAATCATATCCCCAATGTTTCAGTTGCTTGTTTAACTCCCGGTTGTGATGACGGGCCTCTTAGGGGCTCTGTCATTGGCCCAGAGGCCATACCAGTAGCCCTTCTCTTCCCTCCTAGCATTTCTGTACGTCGGCACTCCATATTCTGCCCGAGTGTGACTCCTTCTTTCGTCTTCAGGGAAGTTTCGGTTCGCGACATTATAGCGTACTGATGCAAAGATGGCCAAACTGAAATGACTGGAATTAAGCACTTCGCCGTCTCATTTTGTTCCCTTGTTTGAGCATTATCATCGAAGAAAATTGTGATCAATTCAGATGAAAAATTCCTTGCTGAAGAACATTCTATTTCCAAGTCACTACAGTATTTTCACTGTAAATGCAGGACCAAATTAAGGGGCAACATAATGTATCTTTTATCAGAAATAAGTAGAAAATGTTAAGTGAGGTAGCTAAAGTTGAGAGGATTATCAGCAGGATCGAGACTACATTCGTTAAGGAATCACGTTGTACTCAAAGTTATTGACACCTCCTGCACTTGTGAAGTAATTTATGATCAGTAAATACCCTCGCCGACAAACATTCGCCCAGTTTTTTTCGTGTGGAAGCTTTTAATTTGTGTAATTTGCGCATAAGGTGCACAATGTGCATGATCGGTTTTCAAGGCACAGGTTGGGGGCCAGACATTTCAGCCCGACTCAGAGTAACAAGCAGAACACTTTTTTGCCACTTTGACATGGTTTGTGGAAATTGATCATAGCATTTACCAAACTAATCTCTCTGCTGGGTCGCTTTAAATAGTTGCTCATGTGTCTGACAAGAGCATTCTGGCAACAACTATTGGGAATGAATCGCAACGAGACCGATTTTTCGATCCCAAAAATGAAAGCGAACCAAATTCTCATATACTTCTACAAATAAATGTTGCTGATGATTCTGTATCCACACTTGGTTTAACATATTTCACCTAGGACAAAACCAGGAGCGTTGAAAAAATAGGCGCATAAATGTAGAGACTACAACATCTCTACCAGTGCATGCATCTTGAGGTATCGTTGCTGCTTAGAGCGCCGACAGGAATGTAGTCCTTACGACTCATGAGCCAACAACAGCTGTCTTCGCAAATTATTTCTCAACATCATCAGTACCTTAGTTACTCCAGAGACGTATAACCCGAGCAACCTACGAGGAATTCACTGTTCAGGCATGAGTAACACCGGACCGCATGAGTCTGTCGCGAGTTTCAGTCTTTGGCTGAAACCCTCAGACAAAATCTTGGGCTGACCACAGCGAAATTCTGATCAAGGCTCCATTCACGGCTTGTCATAAGAAGGCAATCATAACACCTTACGGTCGGATGCAATCATCCACACTAGTTCTTGACAGGTTATCGCTTGCCCTTTATGAGCGTAGGGGTGGACAATTACAGGGCCTGGAAGATGGTGCAAAAAACGACCTCCTCCTCACCCTCCGCTTTACCATTACCGAGACCGTGTACAGAAGAGTCAGGCGTTAAGTTCCCACAAGCGCTAAGAGTATTCTACTTTCTAGAAAGGCAACTGGGCTGTGGTTAGTTGTCAAGGTGAATAAAATCGAAGTTTATTTTAACATGTAATAAAGATACACATTAGGCGCCTGTGTACGGAACCGCCTTCCCCAAACATCTGTATTCATATTCCAGATTTGCAGGAAACAAGATTAGAGCAGGAATGCATTCAATACAAAAAAGGCACGGAAATGTTGACACAAATTTAACAAACGAATTTTCCAAGTCCACACTTCACGGAGAAAACAAAATCTGCGAGGCGGAATCACTCATG